GGTCCATGTTAGACTACACTACCCCAGACCTTCAAGTTCCCTTTAAGTCCTAAATACCGTCCAGGTTAGGTGATTAGGTGAAGTGAATAGGTTACTTTATGTGGTTAGGTTAGGTGATAAGGTTAGGTTAGGTTATGTTATGCGGTTAGGTTGGGTTAGGTTGTGTCATGGGTGAAAGGGAGCGTGAGTGGTGGTCTACTAAAGGAGGTCCATCACAGAGTCAGTCAGTAGGGCAGGCAGGCAGGCAGGCAGGCAGGCAGGCAGAGGAGCGACCTTCCTCTCTTACTTAACCCATGCAGGAGGGGTGAGGAGGAGGTAGAAGCAACGAACGAGGTTGTCAGGAGGGGAAGAAAGGGGGCGAGAGTAAGTAGAGTGGAGGTAGTGAGGGAGGGTGTGTAGAGGCGAGGAGGGGGAACACGTAGCACTACACAGCTGTGTGCAGGGCCAGCTGGTAGTGCCTCACAGTGCCTCCTCTCTTACCCCTTACTTTCCTTCCCCTCCACCCCCCTACCCCTTCCCCCTCTCCCCTCCCTCCCCCCTGCTCTTACCCCTTCCCCCCCTTTGCTCTTATCCCTTTCCCTCCCTCTCTCCTCCTCCCTCTCACCCCTCTCCTCCTCCCTGCTCACCCCTGGCATGGCTTCACATCAAGGCTCCTAGTCTCCTCACCATCAACATATCTACGAGAGCTCCCCCTGGTAGGTGTTGACCGGCCGTGTGTGCGTCTGCCTGATGCACCTGAGTCTTATCCCACACCTGGCTACAAGACCTTGATAGTAATGAGTTCGTCTATGGTCACTGGTGTTTGTTTCATTTAGTATCTCGTTTACCACAGTATTATAGCTACACTAAACCTAAATTGGGTTAGGTTAGTTTAGTAATGTTTTTATATCACTATCTAGCCTACTTGGTCGTCCCTATCACACACATACGTCTCTTATAGTGTTGGTGCTCTGATATGACGTCAGTGTTTCACAAAATATTTGTTACGCCGCACAAAAAATAAATAAAATTACGAGCATGACTCTGCATTAATGATAAATATTAAAATGTAAAATATTTTTTAGGAAACAATAAATATTTTGTAGTTGACGGTGCAGTCGATCAAATATTGGAAGATTAATTAATTATGTTATCCAATCATTCTAAATAAAACTGTAATGCAAAGTGAGTTTTATTTTTGTAATGAAAAATGCAAATGTTTACTAGTTGTTGGTCCGTGTTTGATGAAGCCTTTATAATGGAGGAAATAGTTAGGTGGTGGTGAGAGAGAGAACCAGTCCAGTGACGCAGTGATATATGATATTTGTGTTGAAACAGACGGTCGAGTTGATACCATTAGTGGAATAAATTATACAAATAGTGATATTAGTCGTATGTGTGACTACAGAGTCTCAGGGTAAGAAGGGCATAATGTCGTAATGTTATTCTCTCTGTATTAAGTATACGTGATATACAGAATATGTGGTATAGGTCACACAGTCAGTGGGTAGGTCTGACGTAGGCCGTCAGACCTCAAGGTGCACAACATTTTGGGTTGAACTGTTCATCATCAGTTCAGAGAAATAGTCAGTGTACAAACCTGTGTTAATGAGGACCCCGAGTATTATGAGGGTCCCGTCTGTACACTGGTGTGTGAGGTTGTCCTCACTCCGGATATTGACCAGTGACGAGGCGTCTTTTGATGTTCATTGTCCTCGTGTCGTGCATGTTAACCCTGAAGCTGCCACCTTTGACGCAGGGAGACTGGAAGGGTCTGCCAATACATTGATGAATTTACTCACATACAGTATACTGTACAAGATGAATAAGAACTGAACGGCAAATGGCTATGCCTATGGATGGAGCCTGTTGGTGCAGGAGGCGAGTGTCCAGAGAATGTCCCAGCATGAGTAGGACCTCCCGAGCCAGCAACCAGGAGACGGTCGTAGTGGGCTTGTTTTTGATCTATTGGGGTGATGGTGTGGATGATTGAGCCCTCAGTGGCTGGCTGTAGGGTCAGGCACCCTTGTGGAGCTGACCTTGTGCCCGCAGCTCAGTAGGAGGGCAAGAAGGGTAGCGCCACGGTGTAACAAAATACCTCAACCTTTACCAGACCCGTCCCTTGTGCCAGGTACAGGTACTGACGGTAGAGTTTCCTGAACGTGGACTTTATGAGCTCGTAGTTGTCGTTCAATAAGGGGCCGACACAGCCTCACCCCCAAGGTTCTTGATGATTGACAGAATTAAATCTCGCTGGGAAAATAAGATGACAAACGCCTTGGACATCAAAGTTTCCTTATTAGCTCTTCCTCTCCTTTTATGACATTCATATTTTTCACTGAGGTGTAGTGAGGGTGACGGTGGGTCCCTGAGGTGTAGTGAGGGTGACGGTGGGTCCCTGCGGTGTAGTGAGGGTGACGGTGGGTCCCTGAGGTGTAGTGAGGGTGACGGTGGGTCCCTGAGGTGTAGTGAGGGTGACGGTGGGTCCCTGAGGTGACGGTGTGAGGTTCCCCCGACAGGATTACCGTCACTAGGGGACTGATGTACTTGGAATTCACTAGGAACTTTACCTGCCTGATGTTACTACAATCACAACACCTGAAGCACAGTAACACTTGTTTGTGTGGAGAGTGTGGCAGACCATTGGCTCATCTGGTAACTCAAAACTGTAGTTATGTTGTCAGGCCTTAAACTATTTTTACCTCTTCGGTGTCCAACAATAAGACAAACTGGCGACAAACTCAGTATATAGTTGTGGCATCTGATAGTACTGCTTTCCTTATACGGGACTATGTGGAGCTGTCGCCTGTCATAATACAATTACCTTTTGTTTACAGTAATCCTACAATGGTTACGTTTATTGTAAGTCGAGGAATACCGTACGAGTTTCCTGTAAACAAGTAACATCACAAACTGAGAACACTGTGTGCTTGTTCAATTATTAATTAGAGGAACTCGTATTACAGGACAGGTTTATTATTATATCAACAGTGTTAATCTTTTCTCATTCAATATTTTACAGTAAATCGATATATTTTTATAAATGTTCTGATAATGGCTGCCAAATCAGGAGTTTAAAAAAAATATTCAAAAACAGTTTCTTGGCGAATTCACCTTCACGACTTTTATGTTGCTAAGAGAAAATTTAGTAAAAGAAATAAACAAATGTCACAAGACCAAGGTAACCAGTACATGGGCAGGTTGTTTACAAAGTCCTTCGTATTTACAGAGAACCCGAAGGTGTATCCTGAAACACTCCTCTGTAGTCCTTCATTTTCTGCACCTAACTGTATTCTTCACCATGCTCGCTGCTTGGAGGTGGACCTGACCAAGAATATATATTATAACTTCTTAAATACAGTACACCATTCTCACCCCTAGCCACACCATTCTCATCCCCGACCACACCTACCCTCGCTTCCTGGCCACATCATCCTCGGCCACACCTCCCCTCGTCCTCGGCCACACCTCCCCTCGTCCTCGGCCACACCTCCCCTCGTCCTCGGCCACACCTCCCCTCGTCCTCGGCCACACCTCCCCTCATCCTCAGCCACACCCCCTCCCCTCGCCCCACACCTCCCCTCCCCCCAGCCACCTCCCCTCGCCCGCCCTCCCCTCCCTCCCCCCCGGCCATTCCTCCCATCGCCCCCCGGCCACACCTTCCATCTCCTCCCGGCCACACCTCCCATCTCCTCCCGGCCACACCTCCCCTTCTCCCCGGCCACACCTACCTCGCCCCCGGCCACACCTACCTTGCTGCTCCCAGTTTATAGTAAGTAAAGGTAACCACGATTGTAAGACCATGGTAAAAGTGAAGGAGAGTGTCACTAGTTTATATCGTTATTATTTTGTTACATAAAAACATACCAAGTATGAAGGAGTGAGGGGGAGGGACCATGTGAGAGACTGGTGCTCTGGGTTGAGCCTAGGTGAAGCCTCTACCTGGGTCGCACAGCCTCACATGTCACCCTGAAAATTTGATAGCAACCACCACGGCCACCTGCTCTGATCCACACACAATCCAAGATGTACCACACCCCACCCCACCACATCACAACTCCACCACACTACATTACACCATACCACTCTACATCACAGCCCAAAACACCATAACACGTCACAACACACTACCATAACAACTTACACTGCACTACTCCCAGTTGTCCAGACCATAGCTCCACACTCTAGTCTTTTGATGCTGCAACACAAAGAGTATTTGATGTAGTCTTCCATGATATCTTGAAGACACTGAAGGGTGGTGTAGACAGACTCATCTCTTGAGTAACCTCCTGAAGCTTGCATATGATACTTTCAGCTTGATCTGTACAGTATTTGAAATAGAAAATAATGTCCTAATAGAAAAAGAAAATTCCTGGTGGTCACAAGTTAAGTGTGGTTACTCCAGGGTTGTGTTGTAGAGAGTCAAGTTGGTCACTCTGACTAACAATATACCCTTAAGGTAAACTTAGAGTGCTTGAGAATCTTTTGTGACCTATGAAGAGTTATATAAAACAATGTATTTGAGGTTAACGCTAAGTATTACAAATTTTAAGCATATTAAATCTTTAACGAACAATGCTATGTTGGGGGGGGGGGGGTTTGAATCTTACTGGGAACATACTGTATACTGTACGTACTTCTCAGGTAGAGTAACAGGTTGGAAACATGATAAAGAATTATTTTCATGTGACATGGTTGATACATACCACACAGCTGTCACATAATAAACATTGGATACCTGTGGACAGCCAGTTGTACCCCCTGTAATATTAGTGGTGGTTGGGACTCTTGTTCATTTTATACTGTACTACCAATAAGAATTTTGATAGAGTGTGTAAAATATTTTCTATTGGTCAATTGTCTCGGTGATTTACACACATTTAAGTCTCTTTATGTGGTGAGTGTTGAATGCATGTGGCAAAGATATTCTTAAAAGGATGTATTTGGTATATTACTGTATTTTTAAGATAGAGTTTGGATGGGACTGTGTGTTTATGTTATTCGTTCTTGTGTCTCGGCAGATTGTAACCACGGATAGAGACATCATGAAGAAGGAGCTGAAGAAAGTGACTCGTGAGAGGGACGAGGCCCTAGGTAGATTATCTGTTGGTGGTCACCATCCAGACCAGCCAGCCAACTATGGTATGTCCTCCTCTCTACCTTGAACCTCCTACTCTCAACCGTCCTCATCCATCTGAACTCAACATTCTGCTCTGTATCTGTCACATACACAGCACGCACTCTTCTTTAACCCTTAATCAAAATGCATCTTGTTTTCTCATACCTGACCTATAACTTGTACCCCCATTCTGTATAGGGTACTTAGTCAATTCTGTAACTGTACCTTGAACTCATACTTACACCATTTAACCCAAACTTCAGCCTTTAAATTGTTTTTCAGCCTGTACCCTTTATCTCACATTTCAGCCTGTACAGGTACTCCTTATCTTACATTTCATCCTGTATTGTTTGATTTTGAAAATCGTCCTGTACCCTGTGTTCCAGCCTGCACCACAACTAACGTGTGTATCACTGTGTACACTGAGGTGAATATTGAGCTTCATGTTTTACTCACCGCTCTACAGTGAGTCAGCCACAACTCATGGTTGATGTAGATTAACTTGTGTGTGTGATTGTTTATTTAAGATTACAGTACAGTATATGTAGGAGTCATTTGTGATAGAGCTATTTTATATATTTACTGTACGTACGTATATATACAGTATAGTAGGAGTTACAGAGCTTACTGTATTGTGCTACTTGAGGTCCTCCAGATGTTAGGCACTGTGCATTAAAATCAGAATGATATAAAGTTGTTATGTCTTGTGGTGATTTATGAAGGAAACTTAGAAAATATGTTGTTGAAAAGATTGTGACTGACCTTAAAGTTGGTAGATTCTTGGCAGTGGACTTTATTGATTTTGTTTTTTAGTCAAGTCATCGACCAACACAGAGTTTCTAAACACCAAAGTCAACATTCATTCAAAACTTTTTTTTTTTAAATGTGGATAATAGGAAGTTGCAGCCTCGAGGGAATTGTATTCTTTGCTGGAACAAGAAACTTTACACACGTTCATAGTTTTGGTATAAAGTATTGTACAAAATTTCACTGCCTCATAAACTGCAATAATTACTCTTAGGCCTTAATGACTGATGCTAAAGAATAGAACCTGTGCATCTGTGTGTACTGTACTGTATCATTAAAGAGCAACTAAGAGAAGCAGGTTTGGGGTCTAGACCAGTGGTTCCCAAATGAGACACCATAGAGGAGTCCAAAAGTTGCTGTGATCACCGTAAGAAGAGGTTGGTGAGTGTGGTGTTGTCAAGGGGCTGATATGTGACCACTTGACAACAATGGAGGAGAAATTCCTTCTTACTCTTCTGGTTTATCTGTTGACTGATGTAACTGACAGATAAATTTAGTCATTGAAGCTGCATCCAACTAGACATAACTAAGTGTTACAGAGGATGGAAGAGGAGCTCACAGATACTGTATACAAGTACAATATTCAGTACAGTATATAGGAGGTGATTTATTTTTAATGTCACGTAAATAATATCATCTGAATGGTTGGTGATATTTTAGGAAGGTAGTTAGGAGTTTAAAGTAAGAAAATGAGTGTGCTCTTATCATCATGAAAGATACTATCAAGATTGCATTTATGAAGATACTGTACTGTACTGTGAGAGAATGTAAACAGAGGTAGGGTGAACATAGGAGAATGTGTAAGCAGAGATTAACCTTGTTAATATAATATTTCAAGAACTTTTCCTGGATCATATACAGTACTGTAGTATCTGTGCTTCTTGTTGGGTGACTCTTATATCATCAGCCATTCATACATCTTATTCCTTTATGTGTAGTGAATATCACGACAACAATTTTGGTGTTGAAATGTAGGAAAATTACTTTATATATGGGATGGAATTTGCTTTAGTCTGAGACAGAACTAGGAGTCAACATTGTATCACTGTGGTGTGTGCAATGGTGTCCACGGTGTTCCTGCATCCTGAACTTTGTGAATACCTTGTATTAAAGAATTGATAGATACCTTTGTATTGTTCCCATGTTAATTGTATTTTCTTGATAGTTTTATCACCTTCATCATCATCATTATCATCATCATCATCATCATCATCATCATCATGTTCAGTACAGTGCTGTACAGTATACATTTTCCCAAAGTTAGAGTGAGGCTGAGTTCATATGGAATCATCCCAGAAAATTAGGTATGTGACTGCCTGTTTGTCTACAAGTGGTAAAACAAGAGAGCAAAACACAACCCCTCTCTGCTGAATACTTCATTAAAACTGCTGTCCCCATAGTGAAGGGGTTACATATTTACTGAAGACTTACCAGTACTAGTTTGTCTCTTTTATATGAAAAGTCTCTGTTGACTTGCTTGCCTAAGGGGGAAAATGGAAAAGATTAAGAGCTCTCCTAGCAGATACACACAATGGGCAAGAAAATGTACGGTAGCTCAGATGTCGAGGAGTCGGTGTCAATGGGTGCTCTGCCTCATAGCTACAGTATTTTATTGTCTTTCCTTGCAGGAACTTTACCAAAGGGTGGAGGGTCCCTCAGTGACAAGGGTCTGCTGGGTTCCTCACGGGACTATGAGAGCCTTAAGATGCAGTGTGAAAAGGCCATGGGGGATGTACAGGGACTCCTCAAGTAAGTCCATACAGAGAAACACCTAAATTATTTATAATGATTGCTTAACTTTTTCAGTTGAGGAAGAGAGGTGGAGATGTTAATAAAGGTTAGATACATTTTTCTTGGAAACTTGAACGTTTATATATATTGTACATATATATAAAAAAAAATCTTTAAATTTTTTATACAGTTTGCATTTAAGACTTACAGGTGAAAATTAAATTTATATACAGTACTTTGAAAACTAACTTGAATACTGTACTGGCCATTTAATTAGGGCTTACTCCCCTGTCTACTTTCCTTAGTCAATCACAATCCTATTGAATTTATGTCTGTTGTGCTTGTAATATCTTAAACTAGGCTATATGTGTGTGTATCATATATACAGTACCGCAGTTTTATAACAGATTATATGATAATAATGTTACCTAACGTATTATTTCAAAATTAAGTTTTAGTAATTTGCTTTTGATGACATTTTTTTAAAGTTTTGTATGTGATTGTTCCCATAGGCAAAATGTGGATATCACCAGAAAGTATGAAAATACGATGAAAGAGGTAGATTACTACAGAAAACAAGAAAGAGCAGCTATTACGGCACTCCAGAATTTACGAATGCAGTATGAGGAGGCAAGTGTACTTGATAGTATACTTTGGAAGTGTTTTAATGTTTTACTCAGGTAGCTCTAGTTGTGTGTGCCGAGTAGTTAAATCACAAGAAGATCTCGGCCTGATTCAATAACCAACATTATTGTACAGTACAGGGTTATGGTCCTTTGAACTTTACTGTTGCAGGATGAGAAACAAACCTTTCCAGAAGATATTAACACTAAATTTACAATCTAGCCAACATTGAGTGACTTAACTTCTCGTGTCTTGAGCCGTGATCAGGCAGTTGTGATGTAAAAATTATATATACAGTAGATTAGTGAGCAGGTCTGTACTAAGTATGCAACTCATTATAACTTTACAAAGATATTATATTTTTTATGTATCATGAGCAACATTAACTTGATATTTTGCTCTACTGTATTAATATTGTCTCTTTATTCTCAGATTAATGCTAAAATTAGTAGCAAAACTGACATTTGATTTTGTATGATGGTGCAGCACTTCTAATATGTTAAAATAAATCAGAATCTAATTTGAACAATTTAGTCTGCATTCTTATCATGAGGTTGTTCTTAATTTCAAGGTCGTAGCAGAAAAGCAGAAATTGGAGCGTGAGGTCACATCTTTGCAAACAATTATGGAAGATGACCGTAAAGAAATAGCTGACCTTCGACGGCAACAGCAGGTCAGCAACCTACTAGTACGAGCGTTTTCGATCGTAGATGGAGCATCACAAAACTAATCACTAACCCAGGCAAAGTGACTGGTTTTACATCAATTCTTTTTGGTATACTCACCTTTAATTCCTATGAGCTCAAGCTGCACTCAGATATGTAACTAGTTCAGCAACTTTGAGTCTTGAAAATTTTAGAAAATATTTTCCCTTTGTCACATAAAAGATTCATGAACCTGCTGTCCAGCTTCTGAGATACAAAGTTGCAAATCGTGTTGCACATTCTGACTCCCATAATTTCAAAGCTACACTAATGATATTGTAGTCCGCTCCCAAGTATTCCATGATGCTTCTCATTGGTTTTTCCAAATCCATGATAAATGATTGATTTTATTCCAAGACTTGCAGTCCATAAGGCTCTGCAAAGAAGGACTTCAGTAGGTGTGCCTTGTATTTTGTGTGATTCTTCTTGTATATTAGCCAAGATTTAATGCACATTAAACTTCAGAACACTCCCTAAATTGAGCACAATTCCCCATAATTTACAGCTGTGACACTATCTGTCAGCTTCCGAAAACGTTAAATGTTATTAGCTGAACTCGGTAGATTAAGTAGGTAGCCTTTACTCATCAAGCTTATTCTTTGCTCTGTCCTGCCCATTCATCTTAACTAATGTGTAACAAAAATTTTGATTGAATATGAAAATTAATAGTTTGTTGTATGTTTTCTACTTATTTCGGTATCCACTCTTAGCTTGGCAATAGCTCTGGGATGGTGGTGGTTTAATTGAATGTGAGAGGAGGTTCTGTTTTTCACCATTGTAAGTTATGCTCCTTGTCTGCAATATTAGATCAATACACAGAATGAAAGTAATTCCAGTCAGCCATAACAGTATTAAATTGGAGAATGACATTCCCCCAGTGTACCGCTTTTTGCCTTATGTGTATAAATAAAATTCTGAGCTTATGTCTAAAATTAAATAAAAGTAATTGTAATGTGTGATAGAAATGAACAGACAGCTATCACACTTTACCAAGATGTACAAATCTTCCTCTCCCATCCAGTACAGTTTATTTTGTGGTATAAAACTATGGTTGGATTTCCATGCAAATGCTTGGTTTAACTGTATCTTATCTTTAAGGCAATTAACAATGTCCTTCAAAGTCAAGATTAAAATAATACTGTACTAAGTTGAAGATAATTTTTATTGGGGAACAGCTTACGATGAAACAGTGTGATCAAGCAGTATGTTTACTGTCAGTAACTTTCAGTAAGTGTGCATGACTGTTGCCATTCAATTTTTAGATATTTGTCAACATTGATGAAAAAATGTGATCTTCAAAGTTATTCTAAAAATGCTAGTTCCCTTCTCATATATTGTAGAAGATATATGTAGATGCCCCATAACCCTTTATGTTTCAACGTGGAACAGTGTACATGTCCTCCCCGCCCCCACCCCTTAAACTAGGAAGGCATCAGAAGCTCAAGTTGGGATGATGTCATTTTTAAGTGTGCTTCATTATGATTGTTATTTGTGATAATGTCAAATCCCACCTAGTGCATTTGTCAATGAATTAAGGAAGTTTTATGTTTCCATTGAATTTCATGCTATATATGATGAACTCTTAAGATACCTGCTGCCATCATAGTTGAAAATATCCCTACCACTTTTGCCTAACAGACCCAGTCCTAACCTTTCCCCCTCTCTCTCTCTCCCCTGCCCTCAGAAGGTTAGATTCCCGCTCAAAAGACAGGTGGGTCTTACCCCCTTAGTGGATGACAGTTGCATGATCTACTCCTAACACAAGTAATCTGGGTTCTGTCTGTACGGCACAAAGCAAAGGACCCGTGGCTCCTTGTCTATATATCTTAGTTAAGCATTTTATTTGCTAGTAGTGCTGAACTCTTTTTTTTGTGCATTGGATGCCTTGATAGTAAATAGGTTTTGAATAGATGATAAATTGCAGAACCCATTGCTCAACAAAACTTTTACTGAGCAAGCTTTTTTGGTTGTTTGATAATGTATTGTGCAATGATTACTTGCATGTTGAAAGCATGATAAACATATGGTTAGAATGAAGTGTAATGTTTATGTTATCAGCATTGCCATAAGTTTACACATCTTTTGATAGTGATTTTCTAAGTGAATGTTCAGATTTATTTCATATTCTGTCCATGTCTGTGTGTATGCTTAAGCTAGAGTATTGGATGATCTTGTATTTGTGGTTCTTAGATCAGATTATTTCGTTTTTTTAGTGTTCATCAAACAGTTTTGTTTTATCTAGGAAGTAGATACTCAAAATTAGGCCACTCATCTAGATGCAAGGCTCATTATTCTGTAATAGTAGTCAATTTAATTTTTTTAATAAATTTGTCTTTGAAGTAGAGCATAACTTGTTAAAGCATGAGAAAATTGTAAGTTAGTTAACAGGTAATGACTGGAGAAAGATGAGACAAGTTGCTGCATAAAATTATGAACTGTTGTTAGATAGTTAGGCTGGTTGTGTGCATATGTTGTAGTTTGCTTTGCCAGTACATACAGAGAGTCATTTATCCACTCTGTTTGGAATTAAATGTACAGTACTTAATACTAATTATGTGCTTAATGAATGGCAAGGTGTAATGAATGCCATATTGATTAAAGTCACTGGGAGAACCATATTTGTGCTAAGGACAAGATTTTACATTTTTTAAAGATAAAAGTGCAACTGAAATGTTATTGTTTCCAAGAGAAACAATGTATAAGCAACTGCATTTCAATAAGATAAAGGGAGTGTCATGTTATAAAGAGAATCACCTAACAAACTACCTGAGGTTTTTAAATAATTATGAGAACTAAAAGAAACATTTCTTTGAGAGCAACTTAAAAGAGGACTTTCTTCTATTATGTTTTCAAGTCGACATTTCTTTTTTTAATTAAAAATTTTAAATATACAGTACTTGGATATCAGAAAGGAGTATATGAAGAATAAATATTCTGCCATGATTATCAGAACCTTTGAGTGTAAGAAAATAAAACGATTTGATTGTTTGTGTACAGTATTGTTGATGTGTGTATCCATAGCTGGTGTGTGTGAGTGTTTGTTTTATTGTGTGTTTTGTTTACCCATTTCTTTTTCTGTGAATTAACTGAAATCATCTGCCGGTATTGTGTGTGTGAATTTCTGTACTGCTTCCACATATTTCCTATTAATATTACTAATCCTTATACGGTAATCCAGGTTTGCATAACTCACAGCATTTTTTCCCATCTTAGCTTTCACTCCTTCTCCCTTATGCTAACATACAGTGTACTTGTGTCTTGGCATGCATGTTGGCCCTCTGCTTCTTGCATAAGAAATCAATAGAAAAGGATATGAGAATGATCCTCATTCTCATCACTTATGTTTAAAGGTGAAATACTTGACAACTGCTCTACTTACTTAGTGGTAACTGAGCAAGCTTAGTGAATTCTTTGCCCAACATTTCATATGATAGTGACAGCTCTGTAACTTTTGATGATATTGATATGGTTGGTGACCAGAATTTGAGGGAAGATTCTATTGGTAGCATTTTTTTTCCAAGTCTTTTCCTGTTTGAGGTAGTGTGGGGTAGAAGCAGTAACAGATACACATGAACTATTTCCCTTCATTCAGTGTCATTAAATCATTGTTATTATAGAAAAGGAAGTTCCATACAGTACAATGGTACAGTACTGTACTCACCTTCTCTGCCTCAAGTCTCCAAATGTGGTTTACTGCTGTTGCTTCACTTATAATCTTTCCTTATTCATGCATCCTTCATCTTGTCCTCTCTCTCTCTCTCTCTCTCTCTCTCTCTCTCTCTCTCTCTCTCTCTCTCTCTCTCTCTCTCTCTCTCTCTCTCTCTCTCTCTCTCTCTATCTATGATGTATACACTCTCTTTACCAGTCTTTCACACTCTGTTCACTCAGTACTGAATGTTTATCCCACCTGAGCAGAAGCTATTCTACTTTCTGCTTGCTACTTCACTCTCAGATCTTGTTAATTCTTGTATTTCTTCTCTACTAACCAATTTATTACAATATCATCCTCTTGATATATAAAGTAATTACCTTTGGTTTTGGGCTTAGGTTAGGTCAGGTCAGGTTAGGTCAGGTCAAGTGGAACAGGTTGTATGTGTTCCTTGGATGTAGTGTGAGGTGATTAGAGAGGTGTACATCAGCTGAGTTTGTTTGGTATACATACTGTACACATATTTCACCCCAGTAAGTTAAGTTAGTACAGTAATGGAGTAAGACTAAATGATGGTGTTCACCTTTAATGTAAATTGTCTTCACACACACACACACACACACACACACACACATACATATGTATACAAACACATTAAAAAATAATAATAAAAGATTAATATTATTGTTGCAGAAATTAGAATAAAAGAAATTCTCTTGTGAGTTTTCAGTTAAATATGCAAGTTGACACACCTGTACTGTAGTCCAGTTGCATATCATTAAGGGAGTTGTTTCTGCTTTACTGTGTGACTTAAATATAATCTATGGTAGAAGAAAGAGTTAATTTTCATAAACTACAGTTAAAGTCCTGTTGATTTAGTATTTGTTTATTTTTGCATTAAAAACAAATGACACATCTATGTGTTTGGTACTGCACCGCACCTGTATGAATTGGAGTTGTTTGTTAACTTATTTCTTCAAAATGTGATACAGTAACTGAATACCATTCATTGTGTCCTACAAACAACTCCTGGGAAAAATTGTTTTTACAGTTACAGTACCAGCAGAGATATTCAACTAATTACTGTACCGGCAGCGTTCTTTGTGTCTGACTTATAACTCGGGAACATAATTTTTACAGTTGCTTATGAATTGTTTTATCATGTTATATATATTTACATATGCAATATCTGAACCGATCAGTTCCTAAACGAGAATTTCAAACAAGTGTATAAATGACTCGAGTATTGAGCTTTGTGCTAGTGTTTCTGTTATTGATTTACTTGTAATAGAGCTGTCTTTCTTTGGTGCCACACTTAGGAGACGGTGATAGTAAGTTCTAATATGTAGGCTTTTTTATACCCTAGATGAATGTTATTCTTTAGTACAGTACTGTAGTGCATAATTACTTTTATCTGGCACCTATTTTTTAGAAATATATGATAAAGAATATACCCTGTACAGTACTCTTAAAACATTATTTTTTAAATATTTACTGACACTGTACAGTACATGGTCAGATATACAGTACAGTGATCATGAACAACCATACACACACACACACACACACACACACACACACACACACACACATTCTCTCTCTCTGACTTATGTGCTGTATAGACAGTATTTCCTATACACACATAAGGACATGGAGACAGATGCATGGGTAGTCATACAAACAATTATCGTGGGGCAAACACACAGTCAGGCATGCATACATTCACACTTGTACACATATACAGTACTTGTGTATTCTTTAACATTCGCACATTTTAGCATGAATATGTGCAAACACAATATCTTTATCTTAAATACATATAAGTAGTTATATATGTATAGTACAGTATATACAACAGGCAAAGAGCCATTTTTGCAGTGAAGTCTTTGTTTTCAGTAGAACAGTTAATATTATTAACTAAACACTGAAGCAATAAATCACATTTTCTTTTTTTAGTTGAATAATTATTAATGAGCTTAACACACAAACTTTTAGTCAAGCAAAGCTTCTTTCTATTTTTATTTTTGTTGAAGACTCTCTCATATAGTACTGTACTTCATGTGTTCTGAGATGGTCTTTATTCTGGGATCATTTTTTATTTGAATTTTTGGGTCTTCAGTATATCTTGGTTAGGTTTTTTATTGGTTTTCAAGGGCAAGTGATCTTTTGTCAACACTGTCAGTTGTTTCCTGAAGTACAGTCTAATTAAGATTTCCCTTAGTCACTCAACAATGTGGTAAAATATTTGGGTACTTTTCACTTTAAATTTGCTGCCACAGTTGTCACATGTAGCCAATAAATTATTTTTTGTTTGCAAAAAATTAATGGGTTAGGTTTTATTAATGAAATAGTGTAACTAACATGCATACTGTTGTGGCCTGGCATCCCCATACAGGAGGCCATTACACAGGAGGGCTCAGGAGAGGCCATCAACCAGCTATACATGACCACCATGCGTAAATATGAAGCCATCAAAGATGAGTATGATTCAATCAGAAAGAGGTATTCAGACTTAGTTGCCTCACATTCCAACAACATCTCCAAACTGGAACTTACACAGGTAATCGTGTTCTTTTTTTTTATCATGGAAGTAATGGCTAGTGTATTGTTGAATGAGATGGGTGGCTTTAGGAAATGTGATTCTTCTTAAATTATGAAAGGTTTAGCTTGTCTGCATAAATTGCAAGTAATATAAACAATTAAGTGTTGGTGTAGAGTTATACACAAAGTTGAGAAGTAAATATTAGTAGTTATGGGAAACATTGATAACATAAATTTTCCACAAATGTATGACTGCACAAAGATGACCACTGCTATACTCACTATTTGTGATGGCTGTCTGCCTAAGATGTCTATATTGCTTTCATGTAAATAAATATCAATGAATTATTTTATAGCCTTTGAAAATCCTTTTGCTTTGTTTGTTTGGAATTTTCACATAATTTTGGTTGTGACAATAGGAAGAGGTGTCTCGGTTGAAGAAACAGTATGATGAAATTTTACGAGAATGTAATGAAGCCGTGCGGGAGAAGAACTGTCTTAAGCAGCAGTGTACCAAAGCTATCACAGAGTGGGACTCTGCCCTCAGGGAGAAAAACAAACTACAAGAAGAACTGCTTAAGGTAAGTTATCTCTCTCATCTACCGTATATTTATATTTATTTATATACAGTACAGTACATATTTATATATACCTATATCAAGTAATGTACATATTTCTTTGTCTCCTACAAACAGTATTATATATATATATATATATATATATATATATATATATATATATATATATATATATATATATATATATATATATATATATATATATATATATATATATATATATATATATATATATATAATTACAGTATATATATTATTTTTATTTTGTTTTATAGGATATTTCAGTTGCAGTGGTAAAGTGACACTAATTTACATCAACATTATTTATTGTTTTTCTCAGGTTCGTGAGAAGTATGATGAAATGATGAAGGAAATGAACACCCATCTAATTCAGAGACAACATCTTAATAAAGATTTAAAAAGATTACAAGTAAGTTCTTCACGCTTACTGGAATTCTTTACTTAAAAGAATGATTTATTTGTTTGAGCATAAGATCACATAAACTTTAAGGTATTTATTGTATCTCAAATATACTGGTATGTGTACATTATTTTTCTGTTAGATTAGATTTTTAAAGTTATGATGACCCGACTGTATGAATAAGAGAGACTGTTTTTCATGACCCAATCAATCGGTGTTTTTCCATGAATGATCCTTATTCACTTGTCTGAGTCAACGGGTCTTTTAAACACAACTAACCAGACACGATACCCTTCTCACCTCCCACGGTTCTGGCTAGGGGTGAGGGTACAGAAGGGAGTGGGAGAATGAAGGATTCATTAACAAATGGATAAGAGAACAGGTAGGAGAAGCTACATCAAGATACTGTACCTGTATAGGGGATTACAAAAGAAACAGAGACAATAGCAAAGAAATTGGGGAGGTTGGTGGAATGACATTTGGGTTAAGTAACTCAGTATCACTTACGATACACATCAAAATGAATAAAAGATGTTTCATCTCAAATCTTGTACTTCATAATTCACAATGTTTCAGATTTTGTCTGGAAAATTCGAAGATAAAGTAAAAGTTTTATAGAGCACTTTATTTCACAATAGCTTATTGAATGAATTTTGATGATTAATCAGAGGGAAGTTTTACAGGATGTACAGTCGGCCACAAGAATAAGTGTACACCTACGGTTCGTGTTTGAGACAAAATATCTGGTAACACTGTCCTGAACAGAACAGACAAAATGACCTGTAATTTATGTTTTATTCCTACATATATGTTATAAATACATTTGTTATGAAAGTCTTACTAGTGTCTTGTGTTTATATTACAAGTAATATATTGTATCCAATGGGAGTAAACTTGTTGCCGAATGGGATTGCAGTTATCATACAGCTCCCTCCTCCTCCTCCCCCACTTTTTCTCTTACCCTACTTTCTTTTTTTTACTGAAGTTTGGATTATTAAAGGGAGGAAGAGGAGTAAATAGAATAATAAAGAAGGGGAAACAGAAAATAGTTAGAGATAACAGGTGGGGGAGCTGAGTTTCATCAGGTGTCTGGATGCGCAGTTTCAACGTTACCAGACCATTTGCGGACCTTACAGCTACAGTGTGTATACTTATTCCTGTGGTCGGCTGTACAGTACTGATATATGAGGACAGCAACACATTTATACGGTACTGTAAGCCGTTGATACTCTCAAAATGTAGTCTAGCACTCTTCCGTGGATGAGGAGGGGCATCTCCTTACCCCTTACCTCTTTTCTTGGAAATCAGAATCACAGGATGAGCTGTGTTAAGTGAACCAATTACTATACCACAGATTTGAGACATTCTGCACCAAGGCTTTATTGTTTGGTGTGGTCAAATGTTTGGGGTGTTCCCAAAATACTACTACTGTACTACATCTCCCAGCTCTCATGGTGGCCAGCCATCTAGTCGCTCAAATGTTTTACACTTCCCATATTCATTTCAGTACTGTACTAAGGTAATTTATTCTAACATATATAAATGTCTTTATACAAAACAAAATTCGGTTTAAAATTTAATGTATAGTACATAAAAAGTTTTTCCCTGCAGGAAGAGAGAAATGCAGCGATGCAGGAATACACACTGGTGATGAGTGAACGTGACACTGTACACAAGGAGATGGACAAGCTTCAGGAGGAACTATCTCAGGCCAGTAAAAAGATCAAGACAATTGAACAAACTACTAATGACTCAAGCAAAGAGGTGATTCTTATATCATTGTGATTACAGGATAATTAATATTAGTCAGTAAATAAGACCAAGCCCAAATGTTGTGATCACTATACAGGATTTATGTATTGTGGGAGTACAAGTACAGTACTGTAGTATAAAGACTGATATATCCCTGCAAACATAAATCAGTTGGATAGTGAAAGGATCTTTTCAGAAACATTCCAATAGTAAACTAAAAGGCACTTGGTCTTCATGGTCTTACTTAATGGGATTTAAAACAAAATTGGGATGAAAAATAACTAATGGGGATGATTTTTATAAATTGAGCATTACATAACATTTGGTTTATGGCTTAATCACCTCTGGTGCATTAGTAATTAGCTACTGTTGACAAAAACATTAACTGATTACGTTATCTAACTGACACATTGTCTCAGAACAGTTGTAAAGATTCATTCCTGTGCCTCTAATATAGACTTGAAGCCAATACAGTAGAGCTTGATTATGGTGTTTGCAGAGAAGGAAATTTATGCCTGGCTTGAAAATATAGCAATTTTGGTTTCACCAGATTGTACAAGAGTTGATAAATGAATAACTGGTTTGCAGTGGAACCTCAAATTTGGTACACTGTTTAGTTGTTAAGTGGCAATACACACACACACACACACACACACACACACACACACACACACACACACACCTGTTCATATATATATATATATATATATATATATATATATATATATATATATATATATATATATATATATATATATATATATATATATATATATATATATATATATATATATATATATATATATAATCATGAAGATGCTCATCTGTCAACGTTTAGTTTCTTAATAATATGCCGTGTGAAGTGGCATAGGATGGCATATCAAGAATTTCTTTCTATTGTCTTAACCGTAACACATCTTAATACAATTAGATAGTGTGCTATGACTTACAAAACTAACAGTATTCTTTGTAGTAATTACTAACAGTCTAAAATATTGTACATTAACAGCAAGGTCAGTGTCTGAGGTGCAGTTCATCCCTGTTACTTTGAACCATTTTGGCAACACATCTGAATATTCATACACTGTAATCATTGTACTGTAGTTAACTTGTTCATAATACAGTGTACAAGCTTGTTATGGTGAATGGTAGAAAAGTATTTGGTAGTTGAAGATGCTTAGGGGATATATATTTGTTGCTTAACAGGTTATTGCTGAAGTCTGTGAGGCAATCATAAATTAGATGCAACTTGAACGACAGTAAGAAATGATTGATGTAGCTCTCATGGTATGTGCCTTGTTCCATCATTGAGGCAGGTAACACACCCTCCTGCATCATCCTGTGAACCATGGCTCTCAGTTTGTTGGGCACTGTTAACAATTGTTGATGAAATGAAGTTTTTCAGCATCAAGCACTATGTATGCTATGATATGCAAGATCAAAATGTCATTAAAAAAAATGAAAGTAGTATAATGAATATTGAGGAAATTCAGTCCTTTGGCATTCTGCATTTCACTTAGTTCATCAAATAGAATCAAAATTTATATTCCCAATTCTTGGACATGACCATTTTGAGCATTGTAACTTTGTCTGTGGTATATTTTAATGATATCTGATTAAAAGATAGGAACCTTGTAATATTTTATTTTTTAATCAGATTAACCAAAGCAACTATTTTCATGTTTGTGTCATTAAAAGTTAAAGAAGAATGGTATTTCTCTGCTTTACTTTTCCCTTGTGTAGACGTGCTGAAGCAACTCTTAGTCTTGAAACACAATGACATTTCTTTATGTAAGCTCCATCTGCTGTATGTAAGTGATAGCCAATCCAACAAAAACAAAACTTTTCATCAGACATTGAGAACCTCACTGTGTGTTTGTTCATTCGTTGAAGGTGTGGAGGTGTTCTACAGTCAAAATTTGGGTAATGGCATTTGTAATTGTATGGACAGTATATGTAAGTGGAGTTGAGGTTAGCCAGCCCTATACCCCCCTTCTTTATTTATATCCTATTCAAAGCTGTAAGTAACATGAGCCAAGTTTATGATCTTGTTTGATGGCTTTATCACCATTTCTAGTGTGTGTATATGCCTCTAACAAGGCATTTTAGTTACTGACTCTCCATACCTTCACACTTCATATTAACATTCTGAAATTTTTGCTGAAGAATTCTGCATGCTGATTTGGCTGTCACATTAGTAGATATGTAACCATGTGCTTGCATAAGAAATACATATGTGTTGTAATGATAAGGATCGCCTCAGCAAGTATACTCAAGCAGAAAACTAAGATAGAGATTACTTTAAGTTGAGGGGAGAAAATTGCAAAGATATTGTGGGGAGTTAATACTATGTAGCAGTGATGCTTCAGGGGAAATATTGCCAAAGAGATGAACCATCAGTTTCAGGAAGGGAAAACATTTACATAACTACTGTATGTGTTAGTGCTGCCATGGCACACTAAAGCTGCTTGATCTGATACCTGGTAACTGTGAATATTCTGTGAAAGATGTTTGTTAGTATAAATCTCTCTCTAGAAAAAATGCTTTGATGATGATTTATGCTGTGACTAAAATTTCCTACTGAAACTTCTCTACTCCTACTAGCAGTTAATTCTTAGCTCCTCTGCTGTTGCCTGTAGTCTCTTCTTCATCTGTGTTGTCCTTAAACAATCAGGTTACTGTATCAAAAATCAACAGCCACTTATACCTGAAGCTTAGCATGGCATGATGCTGTTGAGGGATCCTTGTCTGATTATTTTAAGAATTTTAACCGCCAGCTGTCACTGCGATCATGACCAGCTTCCTTTTTATTTTTATTTTTGTACATTACTAGTATTATTATCATTACTTTCATTATTGCTACAATTATTGTTGTTATAACTTTTGGTTATTTTCATATATTAATATTTTTATTATTATTATTATTATTATTATTAGTAGTAGTAGTAGTAGTAGTAGTAGTTTTCTATTTGACATATTAACTTCATTTTTCTTATTTAGATTTCTTTTGCAGTTTTAACACTTACTGGTAAATAGTTTTTTAATCATAGCTCTTCCTTAATTATCTCGGTTTTTCTTAGCACCTTTTACTGGAAAACCCAAAGAGAATGCATCTGTTTGCCTCATACATGTAGGTATACCAGCATACAGAATTCTTCATAAATGTTTTAAACTGTCCTTGCATCTCTGCTCCCTGTTTGCTTGTTGGTGCAGTTTGACCACCACACAAAGGAGAATCTCCATTACTTATATATTTTCAAGAGAGAAGAGATGTGCATGATTGATAATATTATCATTGTTGTTCTTCTATGTTTAGTCTTCTCATCTTTTTCCATGTATTATCACATCATTTTGGGGGAACAAAAACAATCACGCCTTAGAGAGTAAAACAACAACTGCTGTGGCTGTTAAAACCAATTAACGTGTTTTCAAGAAGTTCCAGTCTCTGTTTATATCTGTACATTTTTCAAAAGACACTGCTGTATCTATTAAGGAAAGTAATAAAAATTCTCATTCAAGTTTGCAGCAATTATCTGCACAGACAAATGCACACAGTGCTAAAGTGTAGACTCATGCATACTGATACACGTTTACATTTACTTTGTAGATACAGTTTAATGATTCTTGTACAGTGTGTGAACGATCATTATGGTTTGATTAATTATTAAGAACTTGAGAAATAACAACTGAACTTTATATCCACTCGTGTTATCTAGTTCATGCAAAGGAAGGTGAGCTAGAGGAAATATTTTAATGTTGAATCATTACCTTGTCAGGTAACCACAGTTGACCTTTGAATATGTACAACCAAAAGTGTGACAAACTCTGTATGTACATGTATTACCACTTGGTAAAACACAATTTCATTTCTTTACCTTATCTTTATAACTCCAGCTTAATATGTTTTAGATTATCTTACATTGATAGAGGTACCAGAAAAAATCTAAAGATAACTCATTTTTGGTATTGTATATCCCGTTAAAATGTACCAGTACTTCGTGCACCCACCCCTCACCTGTACAGTATAACTGATTGGTGGGTAAGAGAGAATTAATAGTTGTGGATAAGATAAAAGGGAGATTCTTGTCAATAATATTTGCAAGGTTCAGTATTATTTGTGTTATCAGCAAAGTGGCTGTTATCTACAGTATTTTGGGTTTTTTAATGGAATTTGTGTGTTAAATAGAAAGTAGCAGCCATCATACTTAAGTCTTGAATTTTTTTTCCAATTTGTGTTTTTCTGGTTATTAGATTATGTCTTGCTGAGGCAAGTGTAACTACTTTACAGTACTGTAGTTCAGAAATAGTGTAGAGGAACTGCTATTTCTGTCACTTCATACTTGGACCTAAGACTTAAGTTTTAGCTATATAAGGAACAGCTTGCATTAACCATTAATTTTCTGTAGTACTTTAAATTCCTTTATATTACTTTACTTCCAACCTAACAAGAGTGTATTGTGTGGAAGAGTTGTTCATCCAGACTTCAATCCATCTGTAAACTTCCTGTGTTCTTCCCAAAGTTTTTGACCCATTGTAGTTAAATTAATCAATCTATATATAAATGTGTGCCACTACAGGATGATGTGTCACATTAATTACCAAAGTCCCTGCATAAAAGGTCAAGTTTGCAGATAAGATGTACTAATAATCTTATAGCTGCACATTCACCCATTAGGCACACATACCGGTATACTCGGGGACAGTATTACTTTTCCACAACTCCTGAGTATGACTGGCAGCACACGTCAGTAGTGGTGCAGTGTTTTATGTGACAGCATAAATTAAATTGTTCTACCTATCCATCACCGTTAACACCCTTGTGGATGGAGGTTTCTCTGTGTTGAATAAAATCGTCTGGTATTAGCCAAATAAAATATTAAAAGTGGCATCCTCGTAGTGATGGTGTTAAACCACTCCTAGTGGGGTAAAGCAAAATACACAGGTTCTCACAAGAAACTATCAAAAAGTAACTTTTTTAAATTACTTATTTATTTTTCTCTACACTAGACAGTTAGATATTTGGGGTCTTGTTATGGAAGTGGAGTAAGACAGCGGAACAAATATATTACAGCATTAAGAAAGAATAAATAATTGTGAGTGTGGGGAGTGCTTGTGTGCTCTTCAACCCAGACATCCTGCATTGTAGTGGGAGAAGGCTTGAAGGGGTTTCAAAGTGTATAAGTCAATGTTTTAATCTACCTTAGTGTTCTGGTTTACAATAGATTACGAGACTTATTTATTACTGCTGTTTAAAATGAAGATTCTCAATATTTATTAATGCTGAGTAAGGAGCTACACGATGGCAAATATAACCGAGCATTTCAGGTGGTGAAATAACTCATGTCTCATCTTTGTGGCTCGTGACTTCCTTAGTGCAAAGCAAATTGAAACTGTATAGCAGTGTCTGTGATTCAGGGTTACCTGAAGGTTAGACATTCCATCTTATTTCACCTGAAGATTAACCTAGCCTAACCCCCAGGGAACATTAGGGTGGTTAATCTTGACTCGAAATGAGCTGCAGTGTCATAAGGTTGTTCATGATTCATTCTTCATTGCATAGTAGATTTTTTCTTAGTGTTTCCCCCTCGTACACGTGTAAGCACACACACTTAATGGTTACTTATATACAGTAGTATTGATAACTTACACACTTAAATTAATGGAACACTTTGAATGGCAAGTTGTCAAATATCTTTTATTATTTGCATGAGGTACTTTTCCTGCTAGAGTAATGCTATCTGAGAATTGCTTCTTGCTTAAAGTCAAGACAACAATATGCACTGGCTTTTTGTGTCTCATTAGCCATGCATTTTGTATCAATTAATATTTGACCTTTTCTGATGTGATGAGTTAATAATAAAATTTTGTCTCTGGCATTCCCTGTGACAAGTTATACTAACATTGCTGCTTGGCTGGTCTTCCTTGCCGCTGCTTGCTTTTCTTACTAAAAATCAGTAACAGTTATTTTTTACTTCTTTAGAATTACTGAAAGGACAGGGGTGAAACTCTGTACAGTACACTGGTTAGTACAGTATATAGTGTGGGGGACTTAACATTATAGTCAGTGGCTCAACACACACAGCAGATAATGCTGTCACCGGCCTTGTTCAGCCACGGGATTGTACCCCAGGTCTTATAAGTTGTTATCCAGCTCTCTTCTGAATGTAATATACTGTACTTACTCTATTATTAGATTAATTGTTTCAAGTTATTTATATACTGTTCTGTGCTCTGTGTGCATATATAATTCAGTTGACCACAAATAGGAATGAAATACAGTACTGTTCTGTGATTATTTTCTGGCTATAAATCATAGCCATTAGGGAGTAAAGGAATTTAATCACTCCATCACATCTCTTTGGTAGAGGTCGCTGCTTGGAAATCCACTTGTCTTTTTTCTTATACAGTATAGTGCCAGGGGTGGGGGGGGTGGGGATATTTTCCAACAGGAATGGAGGTGGTTCCTTTGGATGAGAGAAAAATTAGTCAAATGAGTAACTTGTAGTTTTGATGTAGTAACTGATAGTCACTAGAGACCTTGGACTACAATCTACAGGACTGCTACAAGATTTACTCCCCCAGAATGGCCATGGATGATCAAGATCTATATTTTTAAGTTGCCTTTTATTTATTAACTGATGTTTTAGTACAGTATTAATATACATACAATAAAAAAAGGTTATTCAGCAACTTATTGTTCACAATGCTATATGTTCGCCATTTCTGTAATTAAAAGTTATCAAAATATTCAGCAAATTATACAATACTTGATGATGTTAATGAAAGAGTTAGTGCATTTTACAGAGACACTTACAACAAATTAAAGATTGGTTATTTAAATAGAAATAAATAGTTAGGTTCTAGAGCACATAAACTGTTCCTAAAACTGCTTTAATTGACACTGTACAGTATATCATACATGATACGTCAAAAATACAGTAACACAGATAGTGTACGAAAAGTAGTTCTATATCTATTACATAAACATCATCTTCTCTTCTCTTAATCATCTTCTGGGTGACACCATTACACCAACATGGAGACAGGCAGGCTGGCTGGTCACCTGTTTGCCTGAGGTGAAACAAACCAACAGGACTTTCTATGACTTAATAACTCATCTGGAGTTGACAGTGGGATCTTTTGTTTTTTGAAAAATTTTAATTTTACAATAATTTTTTATTAACCTGGCACTAAATGAAACAAAATACTGTTATGTGTAAATGTTTTGAAACTGTATGCTGTACTGTTGTTATATAGGGGTCGTGAGTTGGGAACTTCCAGCCACCCGCCCTACCTCCCACCTCCCTCCCTCCCTCTCACAGTTCATACCTACTCCTCATTTTTCTTATTTTATAGTTTTATTTTGTATTTTCTTTATTTCTAAGTCAAATTAGAGCATTGATATTATATTTCCACAATTTTTTTAGTTTCCTATGTAAATAGAAACTGCAGTAGCTAACAATTGTCCGCAAATTATCATTTTTTACTGTGAAACCTAAAACAACAGGCAGTAATAGAGGTAACCCACAATTTTTGAAACATGAATTTGTATTTCGCGAATTATTGCGACAACTGTACAACAAAGTTTGATACAGTTTTTATGAGCCTCCCAGCCAATCTTTGTTCAGCTACTTGAATTACAGGATACTGTACTGTATTAACTGAGGTTTTAGTTACATTCATGACAAAAAGTAACCAAGTGGCAATAATTGGTATTACTGGTATGTACTCTCTCAACAAAACTTCTCCAGCACCTGGGCACGATGGATGTGAGAATGAGCAGTGTGGGGCTTGTCATCTGGGAATGGTTTCAGATTCTTCGTTCATTTTTCAGATTGCTTCGTGCTTATAGCTTTCGAGAATCTTTTGATGAGAGTGTACAGTATTGTGGATAATAGGATCATGGATCGTTAGTCTTATTAATTTATTTATTTTATTATTATTTTATAGCTATTCAATGATGCTGATTTATATTTTTTAACATACAGTATAAAGTTTTGTGCTGTAACCTGTATAGATTTTCTTTAATCATACAGGTACAAATGTGCACTTAGTTTAGAATTTGTTTTTATTTGGTTATGATAATTTTTTCTCTCTTGTAGAAAATGAGATATATAGTGAGACAATCCACTTATGATGGATTCTCATTTTATATCATTGTGTTCTACTTCCTAATGCTCATATTGTATATACAGCGGGAATCCCTTCTACTACAAATTGAAATGCTGAAGCGGGAAATAACTGCATCTCTCCAAGACCGAGATAAGGCTATTAAGGAGTGTAACGACCTGCGGGAACGATTTGGTGCCAAGGAGGACACTAACAAGAAATGGGAGCAATCATATATGGACTATGACAACTACAAGCAGGAAAGGTTATTATCAATGTTCTGCCTACTGTACTGTACGAGTTTATAGAATTGACCAAACTCACCTTAAGAATATTTAGTGTGTAGGTACAAAGTAATATAGCAATATATGGCAGTCATATCACCCACCACTGTTATGATGACTCAAAAGTGTTAAGATAAGTTCTGCAATTCATAAGAACATTTAATAAATTCAGTAGATTTATTCAAGCCTGCAGGAGGAGGAGGAAATGTTGATTGACAAGCCTAAATTTATACTGTATACCCAAAATTCTACAAGGAAATTACAGACTAGAGGATGTTAGAAAGTCAATTTATCAATGAATCTCAAGGACGACATTACAGATGTACTGTACAGTGTTTTAAAGAACTTATGACTCAAAAAGGTGCAAATGTATGATTGAAGGGCACCATATGATGAGTGAGAGAAAATAATGGGGTTTGATTGAAATCTGCTATATCAGCCTAAATGATTTGAAGGTGTTAGAGCAGTGAAAATACTTTTAAATTAATCAGAGCTTCAATTGGTAAAAGGTAGTTAGGCAGGAAAATTTTTTGTGGCCCGTTTTGTTTGTAGTTTACAGTGATGTTCATGTGTAAGAAGTGATAGCGGAGAGATGAAGTACTTACTGTACATGTACAGTACAGTGTATGTAATGGAAGGGACGTGGAAGTGAGGAGTTGCATCTTTGCTTTAAAGTTAGACGTGAAATTACAGAATGGTTAGAAAGTTTATGAAGGTTGTTTAAGAAAAAAAATATTGGTAGCAACAAAGTTATTTTTGCAGTTGAAGAAATAAAGTACTGTAGTGTACTGTAGAGTAAACCCTTGTTAGAAGATACTGATAGAATGAAATTAATAATAATTATAGAAATATTATTTATTCAGTAAAGTCTTCAGAAAAGTTTGGCATGTACAATACTGTATAGGTATAGACAATGCAGGTACTGTATATATAGTGAAGCACATTTAGTATAGACAATGTACGTATACAACACTGGTAAAAAGCAAGGCACTTCAATCAAGGATATCCGACAAAGCCTTGTGTTGTCTATTGCCTGTAGGGTCCTCTAATTTAGACTAGATATTTGGTAGAGAACAAGATATGTGATTGAAAGTTGCTAGGACTCCGTAGAGAAGTGCCAGATAGACCTTTTTTATTTATCATCAAGAAACAGACTAGGAGAAACATGACAAGAGCAATATGAGATTACTACCTGGGGCTTTAGAGACACATTAACTGCTTATGTGAACTGTAGAATAATTTGCTCAAGTACTAAACCTTCATTCAATGTTGAGAGCCTCGTGTATAAAATTTGGTAGTGAGGATATAGGCTGTAGAAACAGTATGGAGGTAAAATATTGGTCGGAACTGGGAGTGGAGGATGTTCGAGTAGTCTTATTATTATTTGTATTGTTATTATTTTATTATTATAGTTATTATTTTATTATTATAATTATTATTATTATTATTATTATTATTATTATTATTATTATTATTATTATTATTATTATTATTATTATTATTATTTCAGCTCCCTGATTTATGGCAAGGAAAAGTGAGAAAGTGAAGAAGAAAAACTAGTTCATACTAATAATTATTATTTCTTATTATCTTTACTTGTATTTTGTTTTATTACAGCTTTATTAGTATTAGTATGATTGTTGTTTATTATTAGAAATGGAGCTTCTAGGGGGGAATTATCATTGATATCCGCTGGGTATTGTGGTTAATTATATGGGGAGGGTATTGTGGTTGATTTTGATAAGGGGAGGGTACTGTGATAATTGGGTGGATAATAATGAAAAGAGAAGACTAAAAGAGGGTGGTAAGGTGAAGTAGTGTGTTAAGATGAGTGAGTTAATGAGTAAACTGGAGACTAGGTGAAAAGGTCATCAGGTCTCCAAACATTGTGTAACATGGAGGATGACTAGACAAGCTTAAGTACAGTACTCTACATGCTGTGTATGATTATGGAGCTCTGAATGTATGAAATATTGCCACGACTCCACTTGAAGAGTTATCAATTAGTTTAGTAACGTAATCCCTCCCAATACTGGATTAATTTATGCAAACCCCCTCCCTTATTGGGAGGATTCCATTAATGGGAGGGTTTCCCTTTTTTCCCATTTATACATAAAATTGTACAGTACATTAAAAGTCTCACATCATTCCTGACCATCAAAACGCATATTGAATGGCAATGAATATTTTACGTATAGTACAGTGTATAGACACTCATGGGTTAGGTTCCATGGTCAAATGGTCAAAATCCACAGCTAGTATTAGCAGCCATAGTACAGTATTGTATGCTTGAGATACTTGAGTCACCCGTAAACACAACCATATTTAATATTTCATTATGTTTTCCTTAAATACACGTATAATGGTGAAAAACATTAATAAAACAATGAAATCATAAGATATTCTACACAGTACATTAAGATAAAATGAGAAAAAATTAAGTGGGAAGGAAATTGTGTGTGGTGGAATAGGGTGGGTGGCTGGGTTGGACTCAACAGAAATTTCCCACCCCATTATAACAACAGTATGCAATTTCAGCATAATTCCCGTATTATTTAGGTTCATTTGGTGCTGGATCAATAAAACTCTGCAAAATAATCAATTTTACAGAGAAAAAAGTTTTGTGGCAGGATGCTCTTCCTAATGCTAACCCACATGGGGAAACAGCTGGTAATGCATAGGTCACAACTCCTGAGGTAATCAAAAACTACCTGCCTACCTTAGACTAATACAAAAATGTCAGAAGACAAGGTTTTAGGTAAGAAGAAAACACCAAGTTATCTATTGAAAGTACAGTATTGGGGGTAAGGTACACAAATGTATTCATAATATATAAGTATGGAGAAAAGAAAATGTATACTTGTACTTAAATGTATAGATACATAACAACAAGATGTGGAAAATCCATAGTTCTCTTTTAACAAGGACTTAACTTTGATGTTCTAAAAGGAAGGAATTTGTGTTGAGGTGGGATGTGTTTCAGGGGTAGATAAAGAGGTGGATGTGACATAGAGAGATAGGAAACACTGTGGAGAGCGAGGAGGGTGGCTGGATATTGAGAGCATTGGCGAGGGTTTGTGCAGGCGGAGAGAATGGAGGTGACCATTTGGGTTAAGAAACGCAAGAGATTGAATGTTGAAGAGAGGAGAAGAAGGGATAGGCCAAGAATAGATGGGCAGAGGTTGTTAGAAATAACCTCGGAGATTAGAACCTGACCAGAAAGGCTGCAAGAGACTGTGCAGCATGGAGAATTGCCATCAGGTAATCATGGCTAACCCGGACAAGCTCGGAAAATGGCCATATAAGGGCGATGACGATGATGATTACCGGGAGAGATAAACAGTGAAGGTTTATGAAAGAACAAGTAGGAATAGATCAGATCCATATTAAGAGGATTTTTAAGTGAATGACACACAAGAAGTGACACAGACAGGTGGATAGTTAACTGGGAAGGATTGTAAGAGTACAGTAGTGCCTTCATGTATGTGAGGAGCATCCTGGAAAATGCCATGGATATGGAATCTGCAGAAATTTAATTATTATATCATGGGAAGAATATACTGTAGATGCTCTCTCGGGCCCAATTCCTGCTGCCAGCCCAACAAGTTTAACAATACGAACACCCTAATTACTGTACCTTGTAATGACCCAGAGGGATACTTAGTAGTGTACTGTACACTCTTGTCAGTTATCAGGAGTGTTAGTTACCTCTGCTACCACCACGTCTCATGTTGCCATCACCACGTCTCATGTTGCCACCACCACATCTCATGTTGCCACCACCACGTCTCATGCCGCCACCACCACGTCTCATGTTGCCACCACCACGTCTCATGCCGCCACCACCACGTCTCATTTTGCCACCACCACGTCTCATGTTGCCACCACCACGTCTCATGCCGCCACCACCACATCTCATGTTGCCACCACCACGTCTCATGCCGCCACCACGTCTCATGTACACCTTTTCCCCAAGATTTTTCATCTAAAATGTTTAAATAAATGTCCAAAAGTCAGTGTTCTGAGTAGAGAATGATTTATAATGTGTTTCCTTCGTATAAAAGAAGTTGGCGGTGTCGTATGATTCATTAATGATATTAGTATTATCTGGTATTATATTTTTGGTGTTTTGCATAAACTGTGAGCAATGTGCTCACTCTGCCTGCTGTTGTGTAGCAATCATTAAATAAAATAAATCCTCGTCAGAGCGGTAAGCAAACAAAAGCACACGGGCGCGGGTGGTCGTTCCCTGCACAGAGGACCATGAATGCATTTGTGCACGTGGCAGCCATTTGGGGATATAAAGAGACATGGAGCTGCTAGGGAGTGATTTATTGATTTATTTTTATTTTTTCCTGACACAGTTATTGTTAAACTGAGTAAGGCCAATTGTGTAGTGAAAACTTACAAAAAATTTAAATCGTTGCACTGAAGAATCATAAGTCAAGACATTATATATCAAGGGATGCCTGTGTATACAGTACAGTATACTGTACCAGCATACAAAACAAGGCACACCAGTGGTGGCCAAGAATACCTCCCTGGCTAGCCACCCAGACATTTAAGTTATAAACTTAAACAGTATTTACTGAGTACTTTGAAATTTATTAGTACATAAGTAAGCAATTCATTAAAAGTGGATAATAAACTTGGGACAAAACACAGGTAAATCAGAGGAAAGCTCACCATTAACCCAGACACTGAACACACACTTAGCAGCCTTGTCCAAGTTACCTATGACCTTGCCCAGAAGAGTGGATGACCCACCCAACTCTTCATTGTTCTTCAATTTTCACTTTCCTTTACCAAATTCTCTCTACTTATTCTAATTCTGGATTATTTCTGTTAGCTTTTTAGTTCATTATTAGAATGAGAATTTATTCAGAACTCTTTCAGGTTATACTTACGGTAGTTCACTTTAACCCCCTGTTCTCAATTAGGACTTGAGTACAAATTAGAAAGTACAACTTTTATCATTGTTCTCTATCAAGGGTCTGCTGCTGTAAGTAGGTTTGATCTCTTAATAAGATGTTAGATTTGGTAGACGATATAGCTCAAAGTCGTCTCTGTCTTAGATGTAAAATGAAGTGCATCAAAATTAATGTTTTTAGAATGCTCGTATGTTAAAAGCTTTCACTCTTACAGGTCAAGGGAAATGTGTTCATACATTCAGTAGTGTGATCTGACATGTTAATGTATGTTTCTATGTGGAATAACAACTGTCTATAATATGTTGATCTGATGAGAACAATACAGTAGAGGCACTGGGGGAAGGGTATGGTGGCCTGTACCCTCCCACAACTTATTATTGATGAAGTCAAGATAAAATTACTGGTGTTGGCTGTGGAATTCTGGTACCACAGAATTATTAATATACAAAAATTCTGTTAGAAAATTTTCAGAGTTAGAGAGGAATTATAGTAATATATTGTTATGATTTTAATGTATTTCATGCATTGTCATAGGCAGCTATATGCTCCCCAACTCCCTGGCTGTTATCTGAAAAGAGGTTTCCATTCTAATCATTTGTATTACTGTTGCTGACACTGATTGGAAACCCCTTCTATGAAAATGCTGCCATTGACATTATTTTTGGTGGTTTTGAAAACCTTTGATGCTGTTCTTCCTTCTGAAATATGTTCCCAGAGGAATTTGCCACAAGATTAATAATTTTAACAAATTTATTTTTCCCCTTTATTTTCAGTAGATCTACAAATCATCCTCAATATTGTGATTAAAAGTTGAATATTGTCTTCTTTTTTTCAGAGATGTTACCTTGAAGGAAGGAACAGATATAGGCTCTAGTTCCCATGATATGTATTCCAAGGCTCAAAAGGAACGCCTAGACAATTTAGATCAAGCTAATCAAGAAATAGATAGGTTACGAAAAACAATAGAAAAATTACAAAGTGAATTACAAGGTAAGATTATTGTATTTTTAGTGAAAATACAGTGATTTTTTTTATGTTTGAGTATTATGCACTGATATAATTATTAATTAAATACTGTAACTGCATTTCTGTTTGAATGAGGAGAGCACCCAATAGCAAACCTTTAAAATATTTTTTGAATTGTAAATTTCATAATTTTTCTTTTTCTATTGTTGTTTGGCTTCAAACAGGCATGTAGCAGTCATGTTTATGATAGTTATTTACTAGTTAAGGTGCAGGTAAATTCTCTATTTGATTTGCTTTAATGACCTCAGTGAAAAAGCAGTGCAGAAGAATGTATTGTAACCTTATGACGTAACACTTTAGTCATGGCATTGCCTTATAGCTGATATCTCTGCAGTATCTATTATTTTAAATTTGTAACCATATTAAATTTAATCTTCTAATGCTAGATGTTTGTTTTATGTAATTATCCAATTGGTTATTAGCTCAAGTGGAAATCTTTGCATCACACTAACTGCCAATTATGCACTTACAGAGAAACTCATAGATTTTATTATTTTTTCTTTTCAAGACATACGTAGGATCATACCTCACACCATCCAATCAGCTTCTAAAGAATCTTTTTGATTTGATTTTAAGTTCGGCCGTTTTCTTTTCTTTTCGTGATAATGACAGTTCCTTTTGTCTCCATCTCATGTCTTTATTATCCTGGTATTATTTTCCTTCTCCTCTATTACCTCTCATTCCCCGCCCACCACCATGATGGAAGACTGTAGCAGGTAAATACTTCCTCCCACTCACCCCTTGCTCCTATTGATCTACTTACCGTCGTTAGGATGTTTGTGTGACTGCGGTGTTTTTTTTGCATGTACATTTTCCAGTACATTGCATGTTTATCATCCAGTTTCTTGTTGTACTGCATCAGTATATTTAGAGTCTTCATAACAACTTATGATTATGATGCTTGAGGAAAGTTATGCATACAGCAATTCTCTATTGATGTTGCTGTGGATGTCTTCAGTAGCAGGGTTTAAAAAATTTGGGGATTGTGTTTGAAAGAAAAAAGTTAGTTTATTTTATCTCTAGATACTTTCATGCATTTAAATATTCAAGAAAGGTAAACCACATCTTAAAGAAAATACTTGTGAGAGCCTAAGTAATTTTTAGCTGAAACATGAAATATTAGGTGGCTAGTTCAAAAGGTCTTCAGGTCACAACTACTAGTTGGTACAGTACATTATTAAAAAGTAAGTTGCCAGACTGTCTTTTCCAGACAAGTGGGGATCAAAACTCCAGCTGTTTGTTACTGAATAGGACAAATAATTTTAGTGTGTATTTTAACATGAGCAAACTATAAGCAGTGTATAATTTTGGGATAATTCACACATACATACTCCTTTTATCAAATTAATTATGGTAGTTGAGGTATTTTTGCAGCTACTTAGAAAACTCTGTACATTCAGTTTTTATACCACAAATAGTTAAACTATGATAGCACTTGCCTGCCTTCATAGTAGATGTTTATAATATTTTCACTTATGCATATTATGTGAACTCTGTACTGTACAGTACAGTATTGCTCTACACTAATCAAACTAATATAATTCTTTAAATGTCTATAGATGAAATAGATGAGAAGGCAAATGTGACCTTGAGGCTTATATAAGCTCTGTAACACACCCACTAATAATATTGTTGAACAAATGGCTTAGGCTGAATTAAATGTAATATTTTATTGACCGTGATAAAGGCCTTTTTTTTTCATGGTGTTTACCATCTTTTACTCATGTTATGTATTGATAGCTGTTTTATATAGGTTTGCTCTAGTAACCTGATCGAAGGCTATAGGTTAATATTGTAATGCAATGTGTTTACCTATAATTAGTTGGTCTGGTATTAAGAGAAGCATATATCCTGTTGTCCGAGCACTGTTGTTTGTTCCCCAGCCTCCCTAAGAACTTGTGTGAAAACTGTCACCTATGGTTAGTTAACATTGTCTTCAAAAATGTATTTCTCTACAATTGGGAGTACTGTACTGTACTGTACCTTTATCATGTTAAAATGGGTATTCTTCAGGAATTTTTCTCCTTCATTTCTCGGTACAAACTGTTTATTTTGCTTCTACCAAAAAATTTTCTAGCATAATTTCTGTGATTTTTCAACTCTAATGACACTAGAAAAAGCATTTTATTGGAACACTGTTCATTATTCTATATAAATTGTTTATTGCACCATCTTTATTGTTTTTTCTTAGTTTGGCTCATTACTATGTTCATCAAAATGAGTTAGAAGTTTGCATGCTTCAGTCTTCACTTCCTGTCTTCCTTTCTTCCCATTTCTCATTAGCTTCCATCTTGTTCTGCTGTAGTGAAGAGAAGTCATATTTCTTTCTTTTTATTTGTAACCTGTGTTATTAATTTAGTGTACAGTACATATACTGCCAATCTCCATCGAGTACAAGGTAATCCTACGTATCATTGTGTGCATGCCTCGTATTTGCACTCTTTGTAAAAAAAATTCTTTTGAGTATCAGGAATCAAAAGTGCTTGGGACCAAGAGGCTCTTGGAAATAAATATTTTGGGAAATTTGATATATCTACTCCAGGGACCCATACATATTTAATAAAAATTAACCAATTTTAGTTTCAACTAAATGTATCGGTCACTGGCGATGGATGTGCGTCTAAATGCTGTTATAAATGACAATAAATTTATAATAAGATACTAAAATACTTATTTAACAATTTTATCAAGGCCAAAATTGCATAACATTTCTATTTACCATGACAGAGCATCGAAAGCTGCATCGTCTCTTTGAGTAAGCAATGGGACTACAGTACCAGCTACACAATATTTTCACCCACTCATATTTTGTTGCAGTTAGAGCTGCTTCGGTCGTTTATTATGTAGACTGCAGTCAGGAACCAAATTATTAGTACAAATGGTTTGTGAAAAATTATTGGTTAGTGAATAATTTTCTCTAAAACTTAGTGCTGCTACTGTACCTGTTTCACTAAAACTTTTGAAAATTAGTGTTGCTAATGGTATTGCTAACAGATTGTTAGTACCACTATTCCCAGTACTGGTAACAGAGAGAAAAAATAAAATATAAATGCATAAAGAAAATAAACGATAATGTACAGTCGGGGTCAAAAGTCTTGAAGACTTGACAGTATTTGGCATGTAAGTACCTGAAGATCTTAGGTATTAAGGAGAGTTTTATCCCATTTTGTGGTTTAGGCATAATTTGTGATGACAAGTATTGTTATTAGTATACCCCATTCATATTATGTATAACTCAGAAGTAGATGCCAGATATTGCTAAGTGTTCAACACTTTTGACCCCGACTGTACATGTACAATACAGTCTACGGAATAAATACTATCCAGTTAATACAGGTAATACAGTACCTGTACATATTCCATAGAGATTCATAAGTAGATGCCCCTATAATTTTATTAAGTCAGCTGATGAGAATTGAGAGGAATTTTATATATAAAAATACCTTGAAAGCTTTTCATTTTCAATTTTTTTTATCTGATTCCTGATACTCAAGGGTACTTTTCATTGTCTCCTTTACTCTGTGACTCATGTACCATGAGATACCAAAAAAGTATTAAAAACAAATTATAGGTACAGTATTACATAGTATAAGTATTAATTATGCTCCTTTTACAGAATACTGTAGTACATTGTTTCTTCAATCTGTCTCTCTACCAAAAAGTTCCTTCAGTAACTTGAGAGAAACTGTGGATAAAAATGAAATTACATATGTGGCTTTGTACAGTACTAATACTCACAGCAAATTTGGTGATCACCAATTTTTAGCTTTATATACTGAAATTATTGTCCCTGTTCAGCTATGGAATTTTAGGGGCATGGGGGAATACACCACCTCCATGTATAGTGAACAGTGTTCTAATTACCTAACTAATATAACTAAATGGCTTATGGACGTTTGAATTTTTGGTAAATCAGTTGAAGAAGAATTGTTTGCAGGTAATTTCTGATTAGGCCACTTATTGAATTGTTAAATATCATATATAATCTTTTTTAAAGACACAAAGTGACAGGTGTCATCTTTATTGCTTGAAAACCTGGTGGTCATGACCTAGGGTACAGGTTCAGCAGGAGTCTTTAGGACAACACTCATATTCTATTTTTTTTGTTTGTTTTGTAATCAAAAGCTGTGGTTGCACTTCTTTTTCATGCTAAGCAAAGTGGATTATGGTGAATGTTATATCTCATTATTATCATTGTACATACAATGATTAACTTTTAATGATGACAGGCTTTTTATGTGGACTATTTACTCTGACAGAAAAAGGGGGGTAAAATTTTTAAATTTTCTTATGAATATGGTGGTTTACAAGAGCCACAAACAATGGGAGGGAGGTAAGTGACTTGCTGGGAGGTAGTGGGAGATCATTATTATAATGATTAACATTTTATGGTGTACAATTCATCATAAATAATATAAAATTTTAATAATAGAAAGAAAAAAGTACAGTACAGAATATAATTTGTAAAATGACTTGAGGATAAGTTGTATTGAAAGGTGCCACTTCCCTGACCCCTCATCCCCTCTTCCCCTCCTGTGACATTTTAGGCTAATGAAATATTTAATTAAGACAGAAACCATTTATTATGATGAGAAATAAAATAAATCCAGGTATCAAAATAAAAATAATTTTATTTTTTATTATATACATTTCATAATAATGGAGACAGACTTGATAGGGCTGGGCTTATTAGGTATGTGTATTTGAGTCATGATAACACTGTCACTACCTGTCCCTGTCTATGTTCTTCCCAATCACAGGCGTCTTCAGATGGTTCGTCTTTTTCCGTATACTGTACAGTGGTCCCTCGGTTAACGAGCACAATCCGTTCCAGCAGGTTGCTCGTTAACCGAAAAACTCGTTAACCGAAACCATTGTTTCAATGGGTTTTTGGGTAATTGGTTCCAGCTCACTGAAAATTGCCTAAATTCAACAAAAAAGGTAGAAAAGTACACTTACTTTGAGGTGTGTATGTAGAAGGCTCCTGGATGATGATGATGATGATGATGACGATGATGATGGGAATTAGAATGGGGGTGGAGGAGAAGGAAGAAGAGAAGGCATTGGGGTGGAAGAGAAGTCACCCCATGGCACCATTTCACCCATAAAATTTTAGTTCTCTTGGTGTATTTCAAGATTATTTTCTTTAAATCAACACTGCACTGCATTATATATTGTCAATATGTAAAATATATTTCAAAATGACCAATACTTTGCTTGGAAACACAGAAAAAAAGCATTTAGTTGAAGAGAGTCTCAAGCAAGATGTTACCTCCACTGAAAACAGAGAGAGACTAACGCCTGTCTGGTGTGTTAACAGGCTGGATGGCACGCCAGAAACTAGTTTCTTTACCTTCAATTATGTTCAATAATTGTTAAAATGACTAAAAAAGTTAATATTAAACTTTTAAAATTATTGAATGGTATAAACTTCTTGATATTTACTAAAATAGTAAGGAATTTAAGCCCTAAAACCGATTACTGTATTGGCGGACTAATACTACAGCTGGTGGACCGCCAAATGCAAGCGAAAACATGTTCAGGTTGGCTCGTAAAAACTCGTTAATCGAGGGATTGCTCGTTAACCGAAGTTAAGAATCTTATGGAAGGTAAATCGTTAACCGAATTCTCGTAAACCGAGGCGCTCGTTAACCGAGGGATCACTGTCTTTCGATCTGTTTTTTCCATCTGTAATGCAAACACTGTGGTTAACTTTACTCTTTTCTTCATTGTGGTTTCTCTATGCTACCAAGTGGTGACTGATGGCTTCAGTTGATGTGATTACCAAACCAGTATACTCTACTGTGTAAGAATATCTACTGTGAGGGGTTATTTCCAGAGTATGGTGGCTGAAGTGTGTTCTGTAGGGGACTATCCCCTATAGAGGGAACAATGAATCAAAACAAATATAACTATATAATGCTCTATACTGAATTATTTATTAAAATAGTTACAGGAAGGTTCATTTGACAAAATTTGTGTTTTATATACAGTACAGGGCTTAGTGTTAAAGTCTCTTGAAGAATTTCAGAGTTATCAGATGTTGTGCTGCAGGTGATGTTATTTTACACTGATAAGAGAGTATGTTATGCTAAAGTTCACTGATGATTAAAGTCATCTCTGCATTTAAAAAAATAGCTATTGATGTAATTTTGATGCTGAGAAAGGTTTAGGTAACAAATATTATTTTGATTTGATAGATTTTTTTATCAACTAATCATATGGAAACTACTGTATTGTAATAGTAAAGATATAAAGGATATGTTTATATATGTTGCATTTACTATCTTAAAACAGTTAATTCCTGAATTTTTAAACAGAGGCTCAACAAGAGGCTGAAGTATCTAAGCGGCGCCGTGACTGGGCCTTCAGTGAGCGCGACAAAATTGTTCAAGAAAGAGAATCCATACGAGCCCACTGTGACAAATTACGTCGTGAACGTGATCGCGCTGTTTCAGAATTAGCTGAAGCTCTCCGGGATTCAGATGACATGAAGAAGCAGCGAAATGAAACCTCAAAAGAACTCAAGGAACTGAAGTAAGGAATCTGTTATTTTATTTCTTTCAGATTTCTGGATGTTAACTCACTCTTTCTCTCTTTAATTATTATCTTTTCCTTACTAATAATCATGTCACATATTTCCTTTTGGAAGGTGTAGACCTGGTTGGTGATTCTCTACATCTTTGGAGTCATTATAGGAAGATTTCCATGTTTTTAGCTTGTACAAATATACTTATCACAACCATAGACCAAATTAAACAATCTTAACGTCTGAATGCTGGGATTTGAACCCAGACCACCAAGGATGACAGTAAGGCACCCAGATGTGAAGTTTGTCTTCATTGATTTACCTGTGTTCATTGCATGTTCTGATACATAGACCAAACATGGTGACCAGCTCTTCATTTACAAATGCCTAAAGTGTAATGATGGAGCATATTTACATTGCCAGGGGCAAACACAACTCTCGTCAAACCACAGAAGTATTTAGTGGTGACCAGAGACAAGAGCAAACACTTACTTACTTAACCTTGTCATTTTCTTCAAATTAAACATTCAGGTTTATGTGCTACTTTGTAGAGTGTATGTTGACAGTGATGCTGTCTCTTTTTAACATTTTGTGTTGTACTCAGAAATTGTTCTTCTAAACATTGTATCTTTGCCACATTTAGTGAGGTAGCTGTCTTTTCTTACACAGAACTTAATTGACTTAAGTAGAATGATCTTTGCTCTCATGCATTTGTCTGACTTATCCACGTATTTTAATACTGTTTCTCCATTATCAGCAAATGTGTACAGTACTTCACCCTCATTAATCATTCAGCTAGTACTCCACCTCTATTCTTACCCATTCAACTACAGTAAAGTGTCTGTCAACCTGAAATGTGCTTTACAAAATAATCTGTTCTACAAAAGATTTAAGCATTCTAAATATGAAATTTAAGAAAATAGAATGATTTTCTTTAATTTAATTTTCCACATATAGCATGAGGGTAATTGAGGAGAAACTGGACAATGAGGCAACTGGCTGAGTGACTGTGTGTGTGGTGGCGTGAGTGATGAGTGTACTTGTCTTCTCATGAGTTTGAGGAGTTCATTATGGTGGTTGTAGGAGAATGATGACACGCTGAAAGCTTATTTGTAGACTTAATAATGATGAGAGTGTTCAGAGAATAATAAAGTAAGTTAACTAACCTGTACAAGTATTTTCAGAAACTACAGTAGTAATAATCAGTTTTTCATTGGATATTTAAATATGTAAAACCATGACAACACCCCTTTATAATAATTCTAATGCATATCACATGTACCATGTTTATTTTAATAGTAAATTTTTACTACTTTTAATGTTATATTGATATTGTATGCTATTGTAACTGCAGAGAAAGACTAGAAGCAGAGCAGGAGAAGGCAGCAGTGGTGCGACAGTTGGCAGCTCACAACCATTCTCGTGACTCTGCAATAGACACTGATATGCAGGAGTGGGAAATAGAAACTCTCCATTTACCTATTGTAAGACATTTATACTATAGTATTATTGTTGATAATAGTCATACTCACTGTCTCAGAAATACATCCATACAGTACTGTATATGGTAAACAAATGCATTTATCAGAAATGGTAAAAATATACTGTATTCAGTGCATTTGTTATTAATATGTTTTTGCAATATACTTTCCAGGGTGTGGTGTCTGAGTCTGATGTTGGCTTTGTTGTGGCTGGAGGCCGGGATGATCTACATTATGGGGGTAGCGATGGAGCCATTTACGTTACAAGTATTGCCAAAGATAGCCCTTTTGAAGGGAAACTCAGGTATATATCTAAAATATATTATGACTGAAATGTAGTGGGTTTGAAATATATCAAATTTGTTATGTTGAAACTGATTCAAACAAAGGAAATGAAAAGCTGAACTCCTGAGTTATTGGTCATATCAGTCAGTTGCCAAATACTGGTTACTGTCATTGTATATAAATAACCTTTTAAATCCAAGATGACAAACACAGAGTCTACATATTAGCTCCACCAGTAATTAGGAACCTGGACATTAACTGATGTTAACCAGTGTAGTTGGTGAGTTGTTTGTTTCTCTTGGGTCATACAGGTGGCTGTTGTGTTGGTGACATCTTCTACACCTTAAGCAAATTCTCACTTACGTGGCCCAAGGGCAGGCAACCCTTGGGCATGAGGGGCAACCAATATTATATATTTCATATTCAAAACATTTATCACATAAAACTTGACAATAATCAATCTTAACTATTTTCAGGGTACATGACCAAATAGTTAAATTAAATGGTGTAGAATGCCTGGGCAAAGACCGTGGCAGTGTCTACGCTGCAGTGGCCAGTGGAGGTGGATTGCTCCAAATGACAGTCAGACGTAGAAGGAGCGGAGGTCGTAACCACACTGCCCACCTCCACTGCCCACACACTTCGCATCATGGACTAACTCTTCATAGCGGAGTGTACATAGCAAACATTCTACCTGGGAGTCCGGCAGCCAGAGAGGGTAATTTGGCTGTTGGGGATAGGGTGCTCAATGTAAGTACAGTATAGCATACTGTATACCCTAAAACTTTACTCCATATGTTATGTTAGACTTTACTTGGATCTTACAGACATGTAAGTTCTGAAGAAAAAAAATTATCTTAAGAAAAATTAACATCTAGCTTCTCATTTTTAAGCACCCATTCTTTTTCAAGCAGAGACATCCAGCTTGCCAGTGATTTGAGAAGAATTCAAAATTTATTGTCCTTGTGTTTATCAGTGAACAATATATGCCATACAATACACTGTTGATTTCTGTAGGGGACCCACTATCCCCCCAGTTGTTTGCTATTGTTTTCTTTCCTCCTACTTTAAAACTAATTGAGAAGGCTGAATATATAGTACAAGAGTTAGAAATACAGTTCATTTATTTACACATTTCATAAGGCTTTGTTACTGCTTATTAATAATCTTTTTATTTTTCTTGTTCTTCAGATAAATGGCAAGCCTGTAGATAACTTGGGTAGTTGTGAGGAAGCACAATGTTTATTAGATTCATCTGGAGAAGTAGTGCAGCTTACTACTCTCAAGTCTCATGGGTCCTCATCTCTCTCAGCACCACTCAGTTCTTCCTCCAGTGGTCACAATATTACAGAGGATGATAAGTCAACTTCATCCTCAAGACCATATTCCTCACCAACTTCTCCTGCTAAAGATTCTGGGATTAGTCCAGGACGAACAGGAAGTCGGGAGCTTGTAAAGAAACTTATTCCAGGATCAGGTGGATCACACAGTGAGGACACTAGTGGTAAAAGATACGGAAGTAGTGAGAAGGTGGTGTACAATGTTAACAAGGCTACTGGTGATAAAGTATCTGGGACAGGACCTCTAGATCTCTTCAAAAATATGGTGAGACCTAGAAGACACAGCAAAGAGCGTGGAGAAGGTCGTTGTGAGAGTAGAGATAAAGACGAAAAGAAGAAACACATGACGTCTGTACTAGACCATGAAACAGAAAGTGCAATAGCCCAGTTAGATTCTGTGAATAATTCATATCATCACAAAAGTGGGAGTAATGGAGGTACAAGTACAACTAAACGATCCAAGAAGCGTGAAAAGGAGAAATCAGGGGGGACGTGGCCTAAATATAGGGGTGGTGGTGTCAACACATGGGATGCTAACTCTGGAACTGTAATGTACACACAACGAAGAAAAGAACGACCACCATTATCAGTTTTTTTACCTTCTCCTAGCACTTCGCCATATATACGTGAAGAAAAATCTTACGAATCTTATCACCATGAAAAGCACCTAAGTTCTAGATCTAGTTCAAGTCCTCGGGCCACGCCAACCAGCCCACGCACTCAACAGTTCTCTCTTTATAAAAATCTTGATGGTGGTGGTGGAAAAGTTTGTTCTTATAGCAGTGCAGGGCAAGTTTTTTCCAGTCCACAGTCTTCTAGTAGTGTGTATCCCAGTCAGGATGTATACTCCCTTGGTGGACCCCGAAATCCCTCGGTGGACAGAAAGAATGAAGATTCTGAAAGAGGAGATCGTTTAAGCTCCCTCACACCCTCAGATACATCCCTGGACTTCTCTGTAAGATCAGGAAATGTAGGAAAGGAAGAACTGGAGTATTATGTAAAAAAGAATATAATAAAATATCCCCAGAGTGACAGTGAGAGCAATATGAGCCCCATTGATCCCAACCCACCTCAGTCATTAAGTTTACCTCCTGGTTATGGAACAAGGCCATCTCCCCTCCATCATGGAGGAGACCGTACACCTTCACATTCTCGCATTCCTCATCCGCACGCTGGACTGTATTCTCCACCTACTCCATCCTTGAAATCACCCCCAGCTTTTGCTCCATGTCCACCAATCTCCCATTTCTCACTGACACATACACATGCATATCCGCACAGCACAATTGGTTCCTCTATAGCTACAGTATCACCACGTTACTCATCACCACCCACGTTACATTTAGGTCCTTCAAATTTTCTTCCATCTTCTAGAAGTGGAGACAGTATTCTCTCCTCCCCTGGTCCAGATCGTGATAGAGATATACGAGTATATTATGAAAGTCGACAGGCATCATCACCTACCCCTCTTGGGATGATTGGAACAGTTGGTAGTGGTGTGTTTTACCACTCGCCATCACCATCCTTGGAACTTCCTGGACACCATAAACCTCGTACACTTCATCTTCATCCTTATCGGTCACCATCAGATGAACCACCTCCGCTATTACACCATTCCTGCCCACCATCTTATATTGACTATCAGCGCTCTGTGGGCACTATGCCTCGCAAGGAGGATGAGCGTATCAGGTCAGTTTTGAAGTGTATTTTCTAAAGTTTTTCATAAGTGCCATTTACATAAATAGTATACAGTATAATGTACTTTATGCACTTAATTTGTCCTTATTTCTCATAATCACCCTCTGTATGTTATATCTTGTAATAAAGAGCTACTTATACTTGGGCTTTCTAATATTCAGATATCTTCCATGGTATCATGGTTGAATCTTCAATCCCTTTGGATATACCGAACACTCTTCCCTCCCCATTAACACCATCAGCCTTTTATGTGGAGTCCATATACATTGGTTGCCCTCTAATGGCAGAATAAGAGCTAAGTATAACCAATCACCACCCAAATCACAGAGGGCAGTGTCCACCATCTTGATTTCTGGTCAATTTGCCATTTTAAATCCAATCTCTAGCTACAGTATATGACATCAGTAGTGGACATCTTCCAACTGACTTTCCACTGGACTACTTTGGAGTATAAAATGCTAAGTGTCATGTCCCCAATATGACACATTAAGGAATACTGTTGTGCCAAAACTATCACAATTCCTTCATTTCCAATGAATGTTGTAATGTTTAGTGCATGTTTTCTTCAGTCTGAGGTTTCAGAAACATGGTTTCAACTGGTATTCTAGTCATGGCTGAATGTGTTTCAGGCTTGGTAGCCAGGGTATTGTATCTACATTGCCTTTTTTTAGGAAATCAGGGCTATGAGAAATGTTTTCTTTTCACTGCTTCAGCTTAGCTAGTTTATAAATCTTCATAACAGAGTTTAGTTTGTCCTCCATTGTAGAGTAACCTGTCCAGAGGACAGTTGCCAGAAATGGAGAATTGATCCTGAAATCCATTTTTCTAGCAGAGCCTATAGTCAGGCTGCTCAGACACCCTCCCCCCTCTTCTGGGTTAGTAATAATGTTGACTAGAACAGAATTCAAAATATAGTATACTGGATTGATCTGAAATCAAGGTGGCAGGCATAACTTTGGTAATTTTAGTGTTGATTGGTTAGACTCGGCTCTTAATAGACCTGCTCCTTGAGAGTGGTGTTAATGGGAAGGGCTGTATGATTTGTGCAATATATCCAAATGGATTAACACAGCAACCCTAGCTACATTATATGAGGCATCTGAATACTGTAAACCTCCAAATCATAGCCCACTATTATAAGAACCACATGGCTACATGCTCTTCCAGAAACTGGACTTTATTGTCAGTCCTTCATTTTGGTCACTTTATCTTAACTCATTCTTATGGCTCATCAGGCCACAAGACTTCATTCCTTCTTCTGCTATATGTTTACCATCACCATAGCCAGAGCTCCAATAAAACTGCTCAGTATTCAAATTTTTTGTGAATCCATGTTTACGGTAATACTGTATTTAATATCAAAGCATCTCCTTAAATACTATTCCTTTCCTCAAGTATCATCATTCTTCTCTTTTATTGTAGTTATTGAAACAAAATTCATTTATTGAAAAATAACAAATGAAGAAGGCTAGAATTTGTTTATATAAGTATTAATGATGGATAATGCTTGTGAAAGGCCCAATACAGTACTTTAGAAAAATGGAGTTGGATGATGCTGTAAGAGTATGAAGCTAATGCTGTGTAACACATACTTTTCAAGGTATAATTTTCACGTGAATGATTTTCAGAATACCAAGTAATGCAAGCGTAGCTAGCAAAAGCAGTGGAGGTAAAGGCAGCAGTGTTGAGAGGACTTCAGAACGTGGCTCCCCCATGCCTTCCAGTTACTCCGTAGAGATGGTTGGTGGTGGAGGAGGAACAAGCAGAGGACCACAGCACATCACCCACATCACTCACTCAGTGCACAGTCCACACTATCAAGATTATATTTGGCAGAGAAAGTAAGTTCATCATATCATCACTGAGATATCACATGAAAAAACTTCAAGACTGAAGTTTACCATAAACAACATGAACTAAGTATTGGTTATAGCTGTTAGTGTGGGTTTAGTCAGCTATGTAATGAGACATACATTAAGTGTTTTTAAATTAGGTTGATTCCTTATAGGGGTCATGTAATTTTGAAATGATACAATTACATATTCATTAAATATATTAGATCCTTGACTTAATGTCAGAGCAGGACCGAGAATTATCTTGCATTATTGAATCACATTATATTATTCTATGTATTTCAATGGGAAATATATAGTACGGGCCTGCAGCCAAAGAAATACACAACAAATTAATTTAAGACCTGTATTTTATCCAACTCGACCCATTGCCAGTCAATCTCAATGCCAAGCCAGCTCCACATCATGCCATGAATCTATGCAGCTTACTAACAAAATCTATGATATCTATTTTCACTTTCACTGAACAAGAGGTGTGGGCAACCCAGTGGATCCAGCACTCACCTGTCCTAAGGGTCTCCAGTCCATATCTCAGGGCTCCCAGCTGTAAATAGCTATCTAAATTTACAGTTGGAAAAATAAATGCAGTTGATTGCAGGGGTAGTTACATTTCCTCTATGTGTACTGAAGGATTTGTATACAGTGTGCAGTTTCCATACTGACCCTAACAGGCCACCAGGCCTGTTGACGCAATACAATTTTTCACTGTATTTGAGAAACTTCCTTACACAGAAAAAGATTGTTGATGAGTAACAAAGGAAAGATGGGCATTTGATTGACTAATTCACCAAAAAAGGCATTCAATTTGTATGTTTTTTCTCTTTGAGGTTTTGTTTATTTAGACTTTCATTACAATAACATATTGACTTGGTAATTGTCTTATAACAAACATAATTTTGTTTCAGCAGACCAAACCCTGGAGACCTAAGAAACATATACATTGAGAAGTCTTCAGAACCATTAGGGATTCAGATCCGTTGCCTGGAGAATGGAGGGGTATATGTCTCCTCCGTCACTGTTAACTCCCTAGCATCGCAGGTGAGACGTTCTCTGTGATCCATAACTATTCTATTGATTTACAGTAATAACTAGAGGATGTGGAAGAATAAATTTTCCTGGAAATATTGAAGATAATATATTTTCTTCAACAATTATGCCATTAGCATACAATTATGGAATTGAAAGCTAGGACACTTTTCTTCCTTTGCTAATGTTATTTTACTTGACATTATTATGGAAGAAAGAAGTTTCAGACTTCATATCTAATTTCTACCAGTAAGAGTTGTGAATTTAAGAATGAAATGAATGAGTTCCAAAATTTGCATTAAAAAAAAGAAGAAGATATTTTGCTTTTAAATCCTATTAGTAAAGTTAATGTGTTTTGGTGCAGTGAGCGAATCTAGGTAAAGAATATTCTGCATACAGGAGAGGACTTACATAACTAGAAATGTATGATGGCTTTCTTTTTTATAATAATATTGCCACACAATTAAATAACTGATTGAATAATGTAGGAGGTTTTTGTTATAACCAGTTGATAGAAATTTTATGTAAAACCATAAGAAGGCAAGCAAAGATTTCTTTGGCAGGTGGGGCTATGTGTTGGAGATCAGCTTCTAGAAGTATGTGGCATCAACATGAGGTCAGCCTCCAAGCAATCAGCCTCAATGGTGCTATCACAGTGTGGCACATCAGTCACTATGTTGGTGCAGTACAACCCTGAGAGTAAGTGTTGGTTGTCATCACCCTCAACTAGTAATTTCATACCATTTAACTTTGAGTGGTTATTATTTTCTCAATTAAATAATCCCTATTTGTTGTTAAAAAAAATTTTGCATGTATTTATTTAGATATAGACGATTCTTATTGTTCATCAATCTTAAACAAGTACTGCTGTACTACCTGTATAATACACAGGGATAGCGTTAAAGCCAAGTGTTAGGTACCACAATGCTTATAGCTTTGTAACTCTTTCATTGAAAACATTGCTTCTTTCAAAGGCATTATGACTTCATGTTATGAAAAATAATTTATGCCATGCTTATAATGATAATGCTTGCAAAAATATTGCATTGATGAACAAATAACATTTTCTTATTTATTCATTTGTTTTTCTTGTTTAATAGAATATCGTGAAGCTGAAGGGTGGGAAGGCAGCAGCAGTGGCAGTAGTGTTGAGGGATCACGTTCTGGGACACCAACCCCACGCAACTCCCCTAAACCAACTTCCCATGAAGCCCCTCGTTCTGTTGATGATGATGATGACCTGCCTCACTCAACTACATCCACCTTGAGAGGACCTCTAGATCTTCGTGATACTTTGGAGCATTCCCTAGATCATTCCTTGCCCCCCTCGGCACGATCAACACTTACTCGTCCAGAAATTACACACGTCATGAATACCCTGAAGAGACAAGAAACTTTTTCCAGGTACCTCATTAATGTAAATAGTTTATCAGATATGATAGGGTATTTCTTCACATCTTTCATTGATTTTCTTGATTATTTTCCTCATTGCTTTGAGGTTTCTGCACCTCTTGATCTACTCCCACAAAAATGGAAGAAAAATAAATATAAGAGATAGAATAATTCATCAAAACTGAGCAATTTATGTAATCACTAAAGCAATGTCTGTAATATTGTGTATAAAAAAGTTCCTTGTCTTGTACAGGTATACATGTCCTGTAATCCCAAATAATCATAATTAGAAAGATATACAGTACTGTACAGGTATCCCTCACTTGGAAATTCCTGATATTCCAAAAAACATACTTGTAAAAGTTTATCCACAGTGGTTGCTTTAGCTTCACTGACGACTTTTCTCTTGAACATGGTCTTATCTTATTTGCTATCAGCAAGTAAATTTGAAGTCACTTGTTCGGGACAAGTACTGTAAATGTTTCACTTAATCTGCACAGCCTGGTTAAAAGTAAACATTTATTTCTTTAATGAGAAAAATAATGTTGCCATTGATATGAAGGAAAGGTTTAAGTTGGGTTTTTAAAGTTAACGAGGATATCTCCAAATGCAAAACATGCTCAGGCAGCACACTTGAATGTATACTGTATTATGTATTTCAGGCGCAGTGAGAATGGTGGTGGAGGCAGCAGTATTGGTGGTAATAGTGGAGGTGGCAACAACTCTGGAGGAGGCGGTGGTGGTAGTGGTGGCAGTGTGGGAAACACTACTGGTGAACCAAGGATTGTGTACTCAGAGCTCAACAAGTCCCATAACCTGGGTATGAAGATGGTTGGTGGTAATGCCTTGGGCATCTTTGTCCATTCAGTTCCTCCAGACTCCCCTGCAGCCAAAGCTGGCCTCAGACCTGGTGACCACATCTTGGAGTACAATGGTGTAGATCTCCGCCATGCTACAGCAGAACAAGCTGCCTTTGAGCTGGCCAAACCAGCAGATAAAGTTACCATGCTGGTGCAGTACAATTACCAAAGTGAGTTTTAGAAAAAAAAAAATTTCATTTTTGTATTTAGTATTATTGTATGAGTTCATATGTAAATTGTAAAGTTTCTTACTCAAACTAAGCTACTTTGTGTGTTAAAAGCTGAATTAAGGTCCAGTTACTAGTTTTAGAATTAAATAACTTTATCTTTTTTCTAGGATATGAAGAAATTCAGGACCAACCTGGAGACAGTTTTTATATCCGAGCTTTATTTGACCGATTGGGAGATGTAGGTGATTCCCCTGATCTAAGATTTCACAAAGAGGACATTTTGTATGTAGACAACACCATGTTCAACAATGTTCCGGGTCTGTGGCGTGCCTGGGTTGTGGATGAAGATGGACACAAAACACAGTGTGGTACGGTGCCCAGCAAAGATAAGTAAGTTTCAGTCTGAATTTTATTTCATACTATTGGTGAGTATTAGAAACTAGATTACCTTTGATTTATATTTTTCTAGTCACTTCATCTTAACTAAAGACATTAACAATGTTTCTTTTCAAACAAATTGTTTTCATATCAAGATTGTGAAGTTAACATATATACAGCTATAGTAATATTTTAAGAACTGTTTGAAAGTCATTGTGTCATTAAATATGAAACCAAGTTTTTAATAAAATATATTATTGTATAATTCCAGAGTGGAAGAAGAGATGCGTCTTCAACGTAGTGTCGGTGACCTACAGATGGACTCTAGTCGTCGCGGATCAACATCAGCGAGACGATCTTTCTTCAAGCGCAAGAAACATTCCCGATCGTCTTCTAGGGACTCTAAAGAACTTGCAAGCTTTTCTGATGCTTCCTTAAATTCTTACACTGAGACTGCACCCATGCATGATGAACCCTCTCCACACTCTTATATTAGAGTGGAACGACTTGACTGTAAGTAAAAAGACCCAGTAAATAATGGTAAATATGCCTATGAAAGACTTGGTCTGACAGGCAGTTTCATTTGTCTGTCTCAGACTATTAGATAGACTAGTTGAGTCAGTTGTTTAAGTGTAGAAAAATATCACAACACTAAAAAGAAAGTAATCACTGGAGAAATTTACTGGAAAATGAAGAGCGAGCTGAGACTAAAATCTTCTTAGTGAATCAGTTTGATGAGCAAAGTGAATACATGTGAAGTGTTAAAGCTTGTGGAAATGTTGAGTATGGGTGGATAATGCTTTAATGTCTTTCTAATGAATGCTTTATTAACATCCCCAGCTGAGGAGAAATATAGCAAATGTGTGTGTGCGTTTCTCCATAAGTATGAGTTTGTAGAACAAACTTATCCACCAGTTAACAAGTCACTACATAGTTCTACTTCTAGTTTATCCATCCTTCCATCTCACTTGTACAGCTGAAGGATATAAGATCTCTTGTTCATGTTAGGCCTGACACATCTGGTCTTTTGTTGGGAAACACAAACATTTTTACATTAATTCAACCAGATTTAGTGTTATTAACATATGAAGAGTTTTGTTAATGATTTAATACAAATTATTTTTTCAGATCTGGTGCGACGCCCTGTGGTAATGGTAGGACCCTTGTGGGAGCTTGCGTGTGACAAGTTGGTGCATGATTATCCTCATAACTTTACGAGATGTGTGCCAGAGGTGAGCCGGCTCTCAAGTGCAGAAATGGAAGCAGCTGTCCAAAAGAACTTGATAGTTGATTACAGACGCCGTGGCTCACATTTTGAAGCAACTACTGTTAGTCAAGTCAAGGAAATCTGTGACAAGGTGAGAAGTAATCTTTTAAAATTTTTTGTGTACTTTTAATTTATCATATACAGCTGGTCTTCGTTATTAGTAAAATCAATATACATATATTGTACTCTGTTACACATATAGCAGTTTTTACTTCTAAAAGTTCATTATTCATATGCCATACTCGGTTATATGTATACTGTACAGTAATCCCTGATTATTTGCTTATTTTGTATTCCCTCCAACAATTCACAGGAGGCAACTAAATATTAATACTGTACAATAATTTGAAATATCTGCTAGCAGGCAATGTGCCTGCTCATACTACTGTCTATTGAGGACAGGAAAAACTATATTTTCATCAGCCAATTGACTGTTTTCGTTTGATGTTTATTTGTTAATCTTTAAAAGCTTATGTAATGATACACAGTATTAAAACTATTTAATGCTTCTAAAAGAAATTGAATATGATTGGTATGTGTTTCTGTGCTTTTCATTTCAGTTTAACCAACAAACACAACCTAACTTGATTGGGTAGGAAACAAACCTCCCTCTATTACATTGATTTATATGGGAAAAATTCATTTATATTTCATATAATCATAATACTTACGGACTTTTTAGAGAACAGAACCCATACAAATAACAAGGACCCACTGTACTACATTGAACATTTATTACAATTGCTCTTAACTCTTCAAATCAGTAGCTATAGATTGTGGCATGGCTTATTGTCCACATTAGGACTGTAGTCTTTGATGTTAAAAGATGTCGAAATAATTTACTCCAGTTTATAGTACAGTTGAAAAGGGGCTTAAAAGAATGAAAAAGTATCATGATTACACAGGTAATAATAATATTATTATTTCATTGATAGAGTTGTCATGGCATATTGGACATCAGTCTTGGTTCTGTGGAGCGTCTACATAGACACAACATATACCCAATAGTATTGTTACTGAAGTTCAGACACCACAAGCAAATTCGTGAAGTTTGTGAACATCATCCTTCTGCTGAAAGGATCTCCCAGAAAGAAGCCAAAGAAATGTATGAACTTGCTGCCAAAATGGAACAAGAATATAAACATGTCATTTCAGGTAAGTTTATCACTAATTATATCATACTTATGAACTCACTACTTCTTGCAGTCATATGACTGGTAAGTAGCTGCTAGGATGATATTTTATTTTTTTTTGCTATTTAAGCTATAAAACTAGCATTCAACTTTGTGTAAGTACTTGGAAGCAATACTTGACATATCATAATCATAGGTCTAGGGCAACAGATGGATAACCCCAGGAAATATAACTGGATTTTGATTTTTTTTTCTGATATCTGGATCCAAATGTGTACAGTACAGTACCTATACCTCATTAAATATAATTCTTTATGTTTAATACAAGAAAACGGAATACTGAAAAAATTAACTTCTCTTTACAGCTGTGATTCCTGCTGCTGTCAGCATGCCATATATAAGTACACAAGTAAAGTCATGTGTGGACCAAGAACAGTCTAAAACACTCTGGGTCCCATCAGGAAGCCTCTGAAATGTAAGGATAAACACCAAAATCAGGTTTTAATAATTCCACACAAGACCAAAATTAATATTAAAATTGACATGTTATCCTAACCTGATTTTGGTGATATACATTTACTTGTTCGGAGGGAATGAGTGTTAACTTCTCCGGCTATATCCACTGCTACTTTTCCTTACACTGAAAATTCCAAAATACAAAGTTTTGATTTGCCTAAAGAAAAACAATTATTTTAGGCTTAATTAAGCTGGATATAGATTTATTTTTATTGTTATAATATATAATTCATATATTTTGTTATTGGACCAAGCTCAAGAAGTACAAATATCACCTAGCATGGTTATATTTGAGCTAAGGATTGTATTTAGGAAGCTGTCTTATATTGTTCAAAAACTGCAAATTATTAATAAATCTTTTAGAAAGGTTGTCCAAGATTCAAAGTCTAAAATATCTTGTAAATGAAGAACAAGGTTTAGCAATTTTGCAGCCTGAATGACAGGTGTCTTCCCCCATACCAAAGAGGCTTTAAGGCAATGGAGATGGGCAGCTAGTGAAGGAGAAAAAGCTATAGTATTAAAGTAGCCTACTGCTCTGCTCTGACAGCTTGTCATTTTGACAATATTCCTTCTCACTTGTGCCTTAATGGAGCTGGTGAGTGGCCTGTGTTTGTTCTAGTATCAATAAATGGGGAGTGGAGGTGCACATGTTGCTGGCTTGATGTTGGCCTCTCCTGATCTCAGGTAATGAAATTAGGCCTGGTTCTTATTTAACATTGTGAAGGGTAACAAGTCATTATGTGACAATCTACCAGAAGCTTTATTTTAACATAAGGAGTCCCCATCTACCAAACCTATGTAAAACACTTCACTAATTTGGTAAAGCTCAAGCAAATGCAAGTAGTTTTTAACTGCTTATGGTGCATCAACATTCAAATTGAAATGAAGTGTTTAAAGCTGTGATTTCATGGTCACTGGTATTGAAGAAACCCTTGTGTCTTCCTTGTATAGTATTTGAAAGTCACATTTAAGTTACCTAAAAGTGTTTTGGATGTATTCACACTCAAGTTCCACTTGATTTGTCAACTTCCATTCTGGTGCATCAATAGGAGTTACTTAATATAGCTTTGTGTAATATCTTTTTCCATAGTATTTTTTAAAGAAGTCTTCAGATTCTATGTAAACTATTTATTTCATGTGTACATTCAGATTTAGAAAAAATAGTATACCTTATTATATATATATATTATATATATAAACATATATAATGTATAGGCTCTAACCTATGATGTTATGTGTTCACCAGAACTTGTGAATTTGATGTATGCCTGATGATGATGATTATTTTATTTATGAATATGTTCTTTTTAATAAATCCAGCAAATCTCTAATCAGACTTCATGGGGAAGACCCATTCCTGTCTTTCATACTTTCATATTGTTACTCTGCTTTTTTGTACAAGAAAACTTTCCATGTTATAGTTGGGCTGCATTTGCTCAACTTCTTGTCCTAAAGCCTGTTTATGCTGAAGTTTTTGGAACTTTCCTTTCACAAGAAGCATATTGCCTGGATTACAACGATTTTACATAGATATATTGTGTTGTTAATGAGGCTTACTAGGAGTGGGTTATATTTTGTATGTACAATATGTTAAAGCCTTGTATATTACTGTAATATATCTGAAGATGTAATTAAGGTGACTATATATTATGTTTACCTCTACTTTATACAAAACTTTACTGTGAGCAATAACAGTGGAGAGGAAGCTGTATAAATGTTTCTTAGTAAAATAAAATTTTTTGACCGTTTTTCAATATTTTACCAAGTTTCCCCTTAAGATAAATACAAATTGGTCTTAGCTAGACATGGGGCAAAATTTTATATTGTTCTGTACCCTGTGTATAAACCATGATACACATGCACAGACTTATCTTTTGAACAAAGTTTGCATGAACAAAACAGAACATGCAAAGGAGAGGTGTTTGGACTTTGCAGACCATTTGGTAGGTTACTGTAAAATCAAGCACTGCCAGAAATTGCAAGCCTATTATTTTATATTAATACATTTTTACACTGCAATAGCTGTTCTTATTAAACTTCAAATAGTGGGGGATTCCATAAATTATTTCTGGTATAAACCTTCACTCAGCTCACTATTAATTAAAATTCGTTTTATCCCAATTTCCCAATTGGTATAAGATATTTATCTGGTGTATTTTGGTTAGGTTAGGTTAGGGTAAGGTAGTAGGTACAGTCTCGTTCAAGATTCTTCGAACTGTGCTGAAGACACCTGGCAACTCAAGGACGCTTGTTTATTATAGTACTTATTAAAAATTATAAATGAATGTTAGAGGTTATTGGTTACTGGTTATTGGGCATTTTTTGTTACGTATTGTATTATATTATACTCCGTACTATAGTAAACAAATGGCCTGGAGTTGCCAGCTGTCTCCAGCAGTGTTCGAAGAATCTTGAACGAGACTGTACATGGTAATAGGTTAGCCTATTTTGGCATGATAAATAATTTTTCTGGTGAATTTTGGTGTTTTTTAGTCAATTCTGAACATATTTTCTTGTGAAATGCATTTTTTTTTTTCAATTTTTATGAGGATCAAACCCCAAGGCTCTTTTCCTAGAAACAACATTCAGAATTGACTACATCCTACATGCCAGAATATTTATCATCTCCATATACCATATGCTATCGTGCACAAAGTCGTGTCCACTACCCAGCCACAGTGAGGTTTGAATAGCCTTGAGTCTGAAGTTTCAAAACAACTGGGAAATGCTATGGTTGGCCAACAGATGTAGCCCACTGTAGTGTGTGTGTGTGTGTGGGGGGGATAAGGAGGTGGGGTTAGTCTAGTAACAGGCTGTGTGTAAGTGGAACATAACATCGTGAATTCATAATCACTGATAACAATAAGAATGTCATGAAGAGTTAATATTTTAAGCATGTGTAGCGGGTAAATAAAAGCACTACAGCGACCATATCTCTGCCGTTCATGGCTATGACGGTCGCGAATGATGGGCACACCAGTAATTAATTCTCGTGACTACCAGTAATAGTAATCGCAATCCCTGAGTTGTTACCAAGGTTGGCGCCACCCACACCAGGGGAAGGAGGTGTCGAACACTGAAACATGCCGGGAAGTAGATTATATTATCAACTTTTGGTAAAATATTACCTACTTTTAAAGTAGATTATCATAAAACAGGAAATATGTATCACAAAAATGAAATATCTACTTTCTGGGAAAGTTGGTTATCTACTTATCAAAGAAACGGGAAATTTTTATCATAGAAAATGGAAATATCTACTTTCCGGAAAGTTGGTTATCTACTTTCGAAAGTAGATTATCTACTTTTCTGGAAAGTAGATATCGATTTTGGGGAAGTAGATTATTAACTTTTTGTAAAATATTACCTACTTTTCGAAGTAGATTATCATAGAAAACAGGAAATTTGTATTACAAAAATGGGAAATATCTACTTTCTGGGAAAGTTGGTTATCTACTTATCAAAAGAAAACGAAATTTTATCATAGAAAATGGGAAATATCTACTTTCCGGAAAGTTGGTTATCTACTTTCCGAAAAATAGATTATCTACTTTTCTGGAAAGTAGATTATCGACTTTTGGGATAGATTATTAACTTTTGGTAAAATATTACCTACTTTTCAGAAGTAGATTATCATAGAAAACGGGAAATTTGTATTACAAAAAATGAAATATCTACTTTCTGGGAAAGTTGATTATCTACTTATCAAAAGAAAACGGGAAATTTTATCATAGAAAATGAAATATCTACTTTCCGGGAAAGTTGGTTATCTACTTTCGAAAGTAGATTATCTACTTTTCTGGAAAGTAGATTATCGACTTTTTGAAGTAGATTATTAACTTTGGTAAATATTACCTACTTTTCAAGTAGATTATCGAAAACAGGAAATTTGTATTACAAAAATGGGAAATATCTACTTTCTGGGAAAGTTGGTTATCTACTTATCAAAAGAAACGGAAATTTTTATCATAGAAAATGGGAAATATCTACTTTCCGGGAAAGTTGGTTATCTACTTTCCGAAAAGTAGATTATCTACCTGAAGTAGATTATCGACTTTTTGGGGAAGTAGATTATTCTTTTTTAAAAATATTACCTACTTTTCAGAAGTAGATTATCATAGAAAACGGGAAATTTGTATTACAAAAATGAAATATACTTTCTGGAAAGTAGGTTATCTACTTATCAAAAACGGGAAATTTTTATCATAGAAAATGGGAAATATCTACTTTCCGGAAAAGTTGGTTATCTACTTTCCGAAGTAGATTATCTACTTTCTGGAAAGTAGATTATCGACTTTTGGAAGTAGATTATTAACTTTGGTAAATATTTCCTACGAAGTAGATTATCATAGAAACGATTTGTATTACAAAAATGGAAATATCTACTTTCTGGGAAAGTTGGTTATCTACTTATCAAAAGAAAACGGGAAATTTTTATCATAGAAAATGGGAAATATCTACTTTCGGGAAAGTTGGTTATCTACTTTCCCGAAAAGTGAATTATCTACTTTCTGGAAAGTAGATTATCGACTTTTGGGGAAGTAGATTATTCTTTTGGTAAATATTACCTACTTTTCGAAGTGGATTATCATGAAAACAGGAAATTTGTATTACAAAAATGGGAAATATCTACTTTCTGGGAAAGTTGGTTATCTACTTATCAAAACGGGAAATTTTATCATAGAAATGGGAAATATCTACTTTCCGGAAAGTTGGTTATCTCTTTCCGAAAAGTAGATTATCTACTTTCTGGAAAGTAGATTATCGAATTTTGAGAAGTAGATTATCGATTTTTGGAATATTACCTAATTTTCTGTAGATTATCATAAACGGAAATTTTTCTGGAAAGTAGATTATCTATTTCCCATTTTCTATGATAAATTTCGTTTTCTAATAATCTACTAAAGTAGGTAATATTTACCAAAAGTCGATAATCTACTTCCGAAAAGTCGATAATCTACTCGAAAAAAGAGATAATCAAAGGAAAAAATTTTAGTTAAACAAAAGTCAGAAAAAGAAAAATTTCCGAGGATTTTTTGAGAATTAGAAAATCGTAAGTTATTTTTTCTCTTAAATATCTACTTTTAAGTTACTTTTTTCTCTGAAGTTCGAGCTTAAACAATTAAAAGATCGTAATTCAGTTCTCAAAAGATCCTAATTATCTACTTTTCGGTGAAGTAGATTTTCTACTTTCGGTTGAAGTATAATAATTGGCTCTTTATTTTTGCCTTTTAACCCTTTTGTTTTCAACTTATTTATTAGGATTATTATAAACAAAGAAAAAAAGTATTTTTTTTCATTTATACGACACATTAAGTTACTCTACAAATATTTATTGTAATGATTGACACCAGCTTACTCTAGGTTTTGGTTGCCCTTATGGTACTACAACCTGTGTACACAGGATCCCATAAAGGCGACCCAACCTGAACCATGCAAAGCTACCAGTGTACCTTGGTCGACGTCTCTCTCCTATCTCTATAGTAGGGCTCAGACAAGCCTCGGCACCCAGCCCTTAGCATCACTGTCCGTAGCAGTGACAGACAGCCTTAGTGTCATCACATAGCCCTTACTAGCACACAACTACCTACTTATAAGCCCCTAGAAGCATCATGTAGATCTTGGGGAGAATCAATCAGCCTCCTCAGAGACACAGATAGCTCTCAAGAGCCACACATCCCCAAGTTGCCACACATCACTTATCCTTGATGATACACTGCCTTGTAATTAATTTTTAATATGTATAACATTTGAAAACCAAAACCAAAATACAATTACAAAAGTTTGCCCAGAGGAAAAATTCATTGATTTACAAACCATGTTGTGAACACGTAATAAATAACTAAATGATAATTAAGGTAAATTCTTAAACTGGCATCTTTTCTTTCAGTGCTGTGCCAGCTAGAGTAAAACATTGTGTTATACAAATGAAGATGAAACTACTGTACAAAATATCGTAACTTCAACAATGTTATGACACTGTTGATTTATTTTGTACTTCAGTTTTATTTCCACATATAAAGAACTAGTTTACTCTTGCTGGCACTGGATTAAGATGCTAGTTTAGAATTTACTGTAATTCAGTTCTTATTAAATCATTACAACTTGCTTGTAACATTATGTCACAAAGTTCTCTGCATTTTAACTTTTTAAGTGAGCTCAAGTCACCTTAGGCATTCCATTGGTGGACCACAGCAGTGACGTCACCACTAGTAGTCTACGTCAATGGTGGAACAGACCACAAGAGCAATGACGTCATCACCAGTAGTCGGTCTCATTGGTGAGACAGAAGCCCTTCACTTTGCACCTCACAGGATCCTTCCCTCACTCCTACACATCAGTGAGTCCTTCCCTCACCCCTACACATCACAGTGAGTCATTCCCTCCTTCCCTCCCCCACATCACAGCGAGACCTTCCCTAACTCCTACACATCACAGTGAGTCCTTCTCAAACTCCTATACATCACAATGAATCCTTCCCTCATACTACATAACGCTGCACGTCTTTCCTTCACTCCTACAAAACACAGCAAGTCATTCCCTCAATATTACACAACACATTGCATCCTACCCTCACCCCACACAGAGCAAGTCCTTCCCTCATTAAATCACAATACTGAAGTCCTTCCCTTAATAATACACATCACAGTAAGTCCTTCCCTCACTCCCATAAAACACTGCAATCCTCCCCCACCTCAGGTCAGTAAGTCCTCCTCTCACTAATTAGCAGGTCAGTAAGTC